GTGGTCGCAGTCGGCCAGCGGCTGTGAGATCTGCGCCACGATGCCGCACTCATCTGAAAGAAGCCACGGCGCCACGTCTCGCTCGGGAGGCCATCTTGAAAAAACACCGACCGGAAAAAGAGAGCGGTCGCTCACCGAAGCCGAGCGGTTGTCCGCCAATGCGCACCATCCTCCACAGTTCCCCGGACGAGCTGGTGAAGAGGAGGTCGGCGGGGAAGCTGTGACATCAAAAACAAGTTGGAGTCGAGTGAGCAAACTTGCGCAAACATCAAAGACGCTTTGGGAACATCGAAGACCATTTAGACGTTCAAACGCATCACTTTGGACTTCTCTATGTTTCTATAAAGACAATTTTGAATCTTCCCTGACTAACATACATATTTATGTGAGCATCAAAAGCACTTTAGAGTTTTTTGGAAAGCTAACGTGCATTTTGGGGAAATGCTGTATCAAAGACAATGTACCGAAAAGGCATGTTAGCATTAAACATCAAAGACAAATTGCAAATACAGTATCCTGAAACTATTTGGCCCTTTAAATGCACATGCTGTTCTTTTTTTTCTGAAACATCATAAAATTTCGAGTCGTCCTTGAACCTGATCTTTGTTGGCATCAAAAACACAACAATTTTTCGTGAAAATCCGAATTCATCTTCAATTTTACATTTCATCACGGGACTAAGACAGGACAGTATATATAAAAAAAAAAAGTTCACGGCAGCAGACGGCAGCGGGAGGGTTTTGCAGCTTTGGCAGCTTTCAGGTCACGACAGCGACAGGCGAGCTTACCGTCTTTGAGCGTCCGTGTCCATGACCAACGAGACGTAACCGTCAATGAGGGAGAAGGAGAAGAACTTGATCTGGTCCAAGTCTGTGCTGGGAGACGTGGCCTCGTCTTGTTTGGGGCTAGGCAAACACAAAAGTCCCTTTGTATCGCTCTGCCACCAAATACATTTGACCAGTTTCACTCTGCGACATGAAATTTGGTGGCCATGTCCATCATGAGTAGACACACACAAAACGTCTCCTGAACTAAACCTTGGAACGACACATCAGGTCTGCCATTTTGGTCCCAAGTGATTTCGGTTATGGACAAACTCCTTTTTGAATGAGTGGACCCACAAAAAAGTTTCATGAAGCCAGGCCCGGAAGGAGTCGGGAAGTCTGTCGTGTTGCTTTGGAATCGGCCTTTTTGGCTCAATTTGGCCATTTTGGGTACACGATTTCAAAAACAAACTTGTCCAAGAGATTTTCCTTAAATTCAGCTCCTTGGCGGGTTTCGCTGGGCAACATCAAATTTGTAACCAACACGAGTATGCGCACAAAAAAAAAAAATTCTTGCCTGACAAAAACACCAAGAAGTCTTCCATTTTGGTTTGAGGCAACCACCTCAACCAAAAATTAGCTTGGTAGCACAGACTGAATTTTTCAAATGTATACCCATCCCCTGAAACTTATTTCATTTAGCAACATGAAATTTGGTCAACGTGTCGATCACAAGTAGACTCAAAAATAGTTACAAGTCTCCTTGCCGTGAAACACAAATCTGATCCACGACCCAAACATTGTTTTGGTTCGCACTCATAGCTACCAGCCACATTATTAAGAGCACATGCATTTCCTTTGCCGCCACAAAGGAAGGCCTTGAGCTACAGCGCCACCATGTGTTCTGACAACGCCATTGCAGTCCATCTATAGCTGACCTTCCGGAGTAGAAGAGCACGTCGATGAGCGTGGTGGCAATGGACGGCAGAGTATCCGGGTCCAGGGACATGACGCAGAAGCGGTTATGAGGGATGAGCACTGGGTGAAGGGTGGCCGGCACGGCTGCGAACGAAGCAAGACGTGGAGGTCACTGAAGTGGTCACTTTGCTTTCATTTCCGATCATCCTATTTGCCCAAATAACGCAATGTCGTCATCGAGCCCTAGAACTGCATCATGCTCTAAATTATTTACAATGGGCTACCAACAAAAAAAAAGAAGAAAAAATGAAACAAATAACAAAACACAAAAAGTGGATTTTATTATCGTCCTTTGGCTCAGGGTAAAAAAAATTAAAAATGAAACAAAAATTTTCAATTAGAGGGGGGAAATTGTCTTTGTTTTTTTGCAGGTCATGGTCTAAATATTAAATTGGTTGCGAATTGTGTGCGACTCGCAAGCTTGGTGCAACCGAGCATTGCTGAAGCTGCATTGAGCTGCCATAAAAAGAAATTATTTTTCTTTTTTATTTTGTTTTTTTTCAAAGCAACCAAACAAAGTGGAGACTTGGAATGAATCGTGAACCTTCTTTGCCGTTGTTGTGCAGGCCGTTGGCGATGTCGTGGCCACGGACTAGGAGCGACTCTCCTCCGACTTCACGGAAGATGTTGAACTCCTCCAGAGTGCCCACCACCACCGGCAGGTCCTTCTCTCTCACCTGTGCAAAAAAAAAAAAACACCAGACCGCAAATTGATTTTACTTCCGAGCGCAACAATGTTTGTTTTTTTTGGCATTGGGAAAGTACACCAAGCTCCTTACCAAACGTTTGCCATGTTAGCTTTTGCAGGGAAATTTCACAATGAACCTAATTTGACTTTCTGCCAAGTTGAATGTGCACGTTTAACTGTTCAATGTTTCGATACTTTCTTTAACACCGAAAAAATGTGGAATTCATTGTGGAAAAAAAGTGTTTTCTCACCATGACTTTGCATTTTTTTTTAAATGAAGGCAAGAATTTTCTGGAAAGAGAATTATATTTTGGGGATATAAAATGCCTAAAATAGTAACCTGACCCCCACTACAAAAGACTGAAAAATTAAAAAAAAAATTGAAAGTACTCTTCTAAAGATTTGATTAGTTTCTTTAGTTTTCCTTCTAAAATATGCAACTTTTATTGAAAAAAAAGGTGTTTTTCATGCCTGCTTTTCTGTAATATATAAACTACCCCAGCAAAAAAAGAAAAAAATCTTTCTTAAAACTTTTTCATTTAAAAAAAAAATCAGACTCAAAAATGTATTTGTCTCGAAAGAAATGTTGCTTTTTTTCCCTCTAAAACATCAAGATTTATTTCATACATAAAATTGTTGCTTTCTGTACATATCAATGGGCAATTAATATATATATTTTTTCAACAAAAACCCTCCCCCCCAAAAAAAACAATTTAGAAAGAATACATGTCTCTTGATTTCTAATTTCATATTAAAAAATGTGAATGTTTGGGTAGTTTTTTGTTTTGTTTTTTTTTTGGGTGGGTAGGTTTTTTTTTTTATTAATTGCATCTGTCTTTTATTTGCTTTCTCCCCTTGCTGCGGTCCCAACCCAGTTTGGAGGCGCAAGCACAGGCTGACCAGGATGAAGTCGGTCTGATAGGTGGACACCATGAAGACGGAGACGTGCTGGCGGGCCAGAGGCGCGATGACCGACTCGGCGATCTTGGTGACGCCCACCGCCTGCGAGCCGAGCGAGGCGTTGGCGTCAGAGAGCACGTTGAGCGGCAGCCACACCGAGCCCTCCGCCTGCAGCTGCGACGAGGCCTCCAGCTCTGCCCGCGCAACCAAAAAAAGTCATCATTCATCATTGATCTCATCGACTCCTAACCAGGCATATCACAAAGTACAGAAATACCACGAGCAGGGCAGATTGTTTCACAAACAGGTGGAATCGAAATGCAAAGTAAGAAACTCTTTGGAAGGACAACGTGGCATTTGGGGTTTTTATTTTTTTGAGCCACAGATAAAAACTGAGCCAAAGATTGAAACAGGCCGTCTTGTTGGTGGCGAATAATTGCATTGAAAATATTTCCATTGAACATGAGATTACTCGTGCCATTCGATGTTAAGTGCACGTATCTAAATGTGACACAGGTAGAATATTTGCAGGCATATTCAAATGAATAAATGCACAGTTTCAAAATCACATGCTGTTCCAGCGCTCTATGAATCCAATATCAATCGATAATCATTTCATTTACAAATTATTTCTAGAAATACACAGACTACAACTGTTGTTTTTTTCTTCTTAGTACCTTTGAAGCCTTCCTCATCCAACACGACGGTGTAGTTCTCGGGGGTCTCGGTCATACTGAAGAACTTGCATCTGAAAGCAGGGTTTGTGTTTTTTTTTTTTTGTATTACAAAATGGCAATAAAAAATTGTGTCTATAGAGACACACACATCCACACTTTTGCATTCCCTCAGTGGGAAGTCCATGTCACCGTTTTTCAATGACATACTGTTCTCCTTTTAAATTGAGATAATCTCAGAGCAGAATGTCAAAATGAACGAGCATAAATGAGAAGTTAGGGCGTCTGGAAATTTTCATGGTGTTTTTTTTTTTTTTTTGTATGTTATTTCCAAAGCCTGTCACTTCCGCAGTTGCAATCACTGCCCACCGTCCGCAGTGATTGCAAGCGTTTCAAAATGTTCAACCAAAATGGGTTTTTAAGAACAATAGATAAGACAAAAAATATTATTGAGACAGTGTAAAAGTGCGCGGATCCTTTGTGTGTTTTTTACAATCAAACAAACTTCACTTATCGTCTTACAATCAATAACATAATACTAAAGCACGATAAGAAGACATCACTTTCTGTTGGGGCAAAATGCAGGATTAAAGAGGATATCACTTTGAATATTCAGCAAAAACGAGGCTGATCTTGAACCAAATTCTATTTTCACTCTTCTTCCTTCCAATTCACGGTGTCAAACTAGTGTGTCACCATCTAGTGGGCAACAGTTGAATAACAGCCAAACTAAACGGAAGGTAGAACAATAAATAGTTATTTAAAAAAACGGTGATAGGGGGAGCACAGCATTTTGCACACAGTTTTTTCTTTTAACATTGAAAGAAATATTTTAATAGATGAATCCATGGCCACCAAACCCCAAATATGTGAGGATAAACTGTACCATCGAATCCGATTCAAAATGCTTGCTCATAAATTCGTGATAGAGCGGGAAAAAAGTGAATAACGACATTGGCCTTCAGGCCTATCTGGGCCAGACAGCACGGCAGAAGGGATATCCACGAATTGTTGCAGGGTTTGACGCTGGAAACAGCCAAAAGAAAACATTTGTTGTGGCCTTTGTTTTTTGTGGGGGGGTTTTCTACCCACCGAGATGAAAGGAAGCCCGAGCCTCCTGTTCTTGCACAGCCCGAACGACTGCTGACTCGGCGAAGCCAAGTCATTGTCGTCGCCGCCGCCGCCGCCACTGTGCGACCGGACACACAACACACGACAGAGCGGCTGTGCTCGCTACGACACTGCATTGTGTTACTTCCTGTTGACCCTTCACCTTCCTTTTGTGTCCAAGTGTGATGATAGCCATAGAACAGGAAATGGGACGGACTGCACTTGCACAATATGAGCAGTACAGGTTGTACAGCTTTGAATAAGATAGGCGCATCATTTACCAAGTACAGTTGTTGGATGTTTTAGAATTACGGGAATAACTGTGCTCATTTCCATTAGCCTGTCTGTGAAGTTTCAAATCTTATGTTAGCGTTCAGCCAGTTTGATTTGGTTGACCCTTTTGGTCTCACCAGGATAAAAAAACCTGGAAAGTTTGGTGATTTTTTTTTTTTTTTAAACAACACGAAAGCCCTGAAATTGTAATTTATCTTAACAAGGGAATTTCAGGAAGACCTTGGAGGACTCTCTTTTTTTTTTTTTTTTTTTTTTTTTTTATGACACGCCACTCAACTTTTACTTTGTCAATATAACAACAAACAGAATAAATATATTCAAGCCAGCAGTTTGGTGACATCATCACAAACAAAGATTACACATTAACATAATTACATTCAAGTACATAAGTATATGGAGACATTATTGTCAAACTTGGGAGTATGTCAAAAATCTTATGCCCTCATCTCCAAATTAGCGACTCTATGTAACAATCAATATGGGGCAAAAAATAAATAAAAACTTAAAACACAGGACGGTTTAAAAATGGCACCGTGAATATAAAATTTCCACAACGGAATAAAAAGTCCAACAATATTCAAATTTCTGTAGCTTGCTATCAAAACAAGTGACAAGCATGAGCTCATTACCGAATGGAGGCGCGTTCATCGCACAATCGTGAGGCAGCGTGTCTGATTGGACCAACTTTTTGCCAACGCTCACGTCGGCCAATGGGAATCAGTGGGCGGGGTCTCAACTACGATCAGATGTGCAAAGTGCTAAAACTACTGCATTCGCTTCTACTCAGTAGTTGGAAATTTCCAAATTTAGGCGGGGACAACACACAAGCCTGTCAGCCTCAGCAAGAACGTAAAGTGGACCCCCACCTCTCCAAAGTTTAACTTAGTGGGGAAAATAAAAAATAAAAAACTCGAAAATTAAACAAAACCTGCTCATCGTTGTAACTACACAGCGATGTGCGATTGACGAAAGCCGGTTCAGAGCACATATCGCCCAGGTATGGGGAACGCAGCACGGACAGTCCTTGCCTTATAAAAACAAGAGGTTACCACATGCAACACATTTACGTCACGGTAGGTTATCCGTTGTCAATCGAAATCGGTCCTTTTGTCAACATGACACGGCGCAACACGCATACTGACGCAATTTCTCCCAAACTAGGCAATGTTCCGAGTGGAGGATGTCAATGAGCCCCCGCTTACCGTGTCCGGTGGCGGAGGAATATCAGCTTGATCAGCGGATGCGTGAAATGCGCCAGGCCGCTTTTGGTGATGCTGGTGACCCGCAGCCGGTGGTCCAGAATGTGCAGCTCCATGTCCACTTGAAAGCGCTTGTTAGCGCTTGACACCAACCACAATGACTAACTGTGCACACCCACCCGTACACTAGCACTCCTCACGACGAAAAACATCCGACAAGCCCAGCCCCGCGCAACAACTATGTATTCAAATGAGCAAAACAGCAGACACGCCCCCTTTTCTTAAAGTTACAGTGTAGCATTTGCGCGCTTGTTCAGCGTCACGAAACTTGCTGGTTCCTGCCAGCCAAATTTCAGGTTGTTTCGTGAAACATTCGGTCAAGATCTGACCCTCTGGAGGAAATTGGTAAAGACATGATGGCAACGTGGCCTGTCGCATAGCTTTTATTTTGACGGACACTCTCCAGCATCTGTAAACTCAGAAGTGGAATTCATTGTGGAAAAAACAAATAGAAATACCATAATTAAGCCTTTAAAACAAACACACACACACACACACAAAAGAAAATTACAGCCATGTTTTCATTGAGACCACACAACCATTATACTAATGTTTTCCCTGAAAGGCACTTATTTTGACATCAAGATTCATATAACAAGAATGTGCCTGACTTGTACAGATACATTCGCTTGTCGCTTTGTAGGTACACCCGCATAATGCAATGAGGTCCAATGTGAGAGGTCGCAAAAAAAAAAAATGCTCATTTGAAAGGTATTAATTGAACAGGATATTTTTTTGTAGACATCACAGCAGTTAGACAATTTTGACTTTTCACACACACTTCTCGATCATAATGTTGTTTTTGTGCTCAGGGCAAAGGTCTTCCTAATATAAAAGTATTGCTTGGGTGCCATGTTGTGGCACCAAAGAACTACGTGGATTTGAGGAGAGGAGCTTCATCTAGACAGGCAATTGCACTCTCTACTATAAAGGTAGTACTTTGTTAGCCTGTGAGTGGGTATCAATGACTCGTGGAACACTGTTTTTGTATGACTACTATTGGAAGTCATTAGATGGTGCAAGTGTACCTAATGTTGTGGCCCAACAGTGTGGAAACAGTGTTGTTGTTTGCTGCTGCTGCTGTTGTTGTCTTTGTTTTCCAGTTTTTGTTGTTATTGTAATGGAGAACTGGAGGTGGGAATCATTATCCTGGACTCCATGCTCCTGATGAGAGGCACTGCAATAAACACACAATATCCAAGCCAAAAGGTAAGCAGAGTTGCAGTGTTAGCACAGATTCGTGTTAGCTTCTGATCAACGGCACATACTCGGATGCTCGGCAAAGTTGTCAATGTTGGAGGAAATAATGTGGGGAATTTGTATAAGTGACAATTTGAATTTGGTAGCTTGCTGATGAATTGATGATTGCACGAGGGAAAATACAAGCATGAATTTTTTTGACTCAAAGGTACATTGGCAGTGAGTCTCAGCTGAACAGCACAAACGCAACAGGCTACTTCAAATGCGTCAACAGGCGCATGTAGCTCGCCTGACTGGCTAAACTCGCTCGCACCTCAGATTGTATCGAGGTCTGATGATGCTAGCATGATGTCCGCATTATGAGCTACGAACGCAAGGTCTCAGTGCATCGCAGTCCTACCCGTGTAGTACACGTTGGCGTCCCATCCCTCCTTGCGCCATGCAGAGTTCCTGGTTTCATCTCGAGACTGAAGGCTTTCATATGCTGCGACATGAGCACAAAACAAGAATCAAAAAAGCGTCGTCGTGAGTCCGGAAATAAGTCTGCTAACTGTCGTTGACTTGACAAGTTAGCCAGCCAGGGGCACTGCATTCAGCGCCCCACCGTGGCCCTATCCATAGCGTTGAAAGGGAGCTACTGCACGTGTCCAAATTTTAACGAGGGTTTATGTGTCAAAATGTGTCTGCCCCAAACCAGAAGAAATATTTTACAAAACCAGACAACAAAGATCGAACTAAACAGCTTTACTCATCATGAACCATATCCCATTTATCCTGCTCGTTTAAAAACAGTAATCTCCGGTTGAAACAATCCTGTTCCTTCCCCGTGAGTCGTCCTCAGAGGGGCGAGTGGTCTTCCTTTAGTGTAGTTGCCCGCTCACCCCATAAGTGATGGACGACGTACAAGTCGCCGACCTGCGAGAAGAAGCCACCCACGGCCTCGTTGTTCTCCTGCCGGTATTTGATGGCCCTCGCCCTGGTCACGACACAGATGAAGGCCAAATGGTGGTCATGGAGCAGGTTCGTGTTTTGCTCACGTCAAGCAAGAATGAGGAGGGGTGGGGGGGGGGAGGGGGCTTACCAATGGTTGCCCCACTCGATCATGGTCCCTGGCTTGAAGCAGAAACAAGCATTAAAAAAAAAAACAAGATGTCAAATTGGATATGTAAGAAGTGGCAACATAATCTTTAAGACTTTCTTTAAGGCCACCGCAATAAAATTTCAAGACCTCCCATTCCCAAAATGGGACCACTCGGAGTGAAAGTCATTTTTACAATGACGACACATTTTTTTTCCACAGCAACGATATTGTGAGTCCAACAGAAGAAGTGAAGCTACCTTGAGGGAGTAGCTCCTCATTTCATAGATGTTAGGTCCTGGTCTAGGAAGGGGTTCATTCCAAAAACTGAACTCCAACAGCAGCTGATTCCTCCTGGAATGCAGCATTTTTGCTCTCTCTTTGCGGGATTCCAAATATTCCTGCCGACAAACAAGCAGGTGGGTTGTCATAGCAACAGCCAACACGCCACAGTTATCACTGATTGTAATCATTTTTTTTAAGCGTCGTCGTGGTGTTACCTTGTTGACTTTGAGCTTGTTGAGGCATTCCGTCAGGGCGGGGTAGCCCCCCCTGTAACGCCACAGGTGCACTGCAGAGAAGCCAAGAGACGATTTTAACCAGCGCTGCAACACACACTCGCTTACCAAGACAAAACATGATCCTGCTGAGAAAATTATTTACAAATATATTGATGGCGTTTGGTTGACTGAACAGTGTATGAGGCGGAAAGGAGTCCGCATGCATTAATCCTCGTGGCTGATCAGTTTGTCTTACTCAAATGTAGCGAAGCGAACCATTTTCACTCGTTAGGGTCTAAAAAGAAAACATCCAGACTGTCAATCTTGAAGGAAGAGGTGGCGTTGTTTACAACATTTCTGAGACGGTTTGAGCATACGAGATCATAGATGAATTCTCCAGCTATTTTCACCACAGCATTTTAGAAAGCGTAAGAATAACAGATGACGTGTCAAACTATTCAATTGATCAAATTGGTACGTTGCAAATATTTGCTCAGAAAAAGAAAAAAAAACTTGATTGCATTTCAATCCCAAATGCACAATAATGAGGTCAAAGGGGAGCTGTTCTGTACCTGCTTGGTCCTGCTCACCATACCAGGTGTTCCAGCTTCCCACCACCTCACACGGATAATCCTCATTGTGATGGAGCCTCTTTTGCACCTCTGCCCTAAAAAAAAAAAAAAAAATCCAGATACCAACTGAGACTCCTTCAGAATCAAACGATGCAAACAAACAAGAAAATGTCACAACTCACTCCAAGTTGTTGTAAGCTTCCAGGCACTCCGGTTTCACATTGTGAACTGAAAAGTGTCGAAAAATGATTTCATAAAAAGACTTGCATGCATTTTTTTCAACACAATTGTCTCATGACTTTCAGACTAAACAATAAACAAAGAAGTAAACATTGTGCATTTAGACGCACCACAGAACGTTGCCGTGTATGAGAGTCTGCTATCTTAATGCTAAGAGACGATGCAAAACGCTTTAAACAAAACAAGCATCAATAGTGCCACAGGCGAACACAAACGGTGGAGCAACACATGTAGCCAGAGAATATAACATTACTCACAGGCATATCTTCTTTATCCTCGCAAACAAACACCAAATATTGCTGCAGATTTGTTGTGACGGTCCGTTTCATATTCGGCAACCAAATCTATGTGTATATTCTACCTAGGTTTTTAATTAACTGCCCCCCTCTGGCCACAGTGCACACACACAAGGAGGAGGCCAATTGAATTCATTCATGAAATCATGATGGAAAAAACTGTTTTAATTCTTTCCACTGTTTTGAATTATTTTCTTACTGGAAGATTTTAAAAGGCACAAATCTGAGTTTTGTGCCATTTTTCTGATTTAAAAAGTGTTTCTGTGAGCGTCTGGATGAATGCTTTCTAGTACTATAGCTCCTTGTGAGTGTTCTCATTTTGTATTTGTCAGTTTGACTGTATGTCACATTTGGTAAATGCCGATTGTGGCTTTGACCACCGACGAGGGCATCACAGAACTTAAATTGCTCCATTCTTTTTGTTTTCCACGTTATTCGAGCGGCGGCGTGCCATAAGCTCTCTGGTGGCGACGGTGCGCCTACCTACATTGGATTTTGTACAGGTTGGTGGTCTCCTGCTTGGAGAGCAGGTTGGAGTGGGCATCTTTCCTGGCGTCCACTTTGTGCACCGACGAGGAGGCAGAACGGAACCAGCGTCCAACGGCGCTCTCGGAAAACTTCCTACGTGCCCGAACAACATGCGAGAAAGAAACATCTTGATTTTTATTGTGCACAGTGCCAGCTATCATCATAAAAAAATAAAATAAAAAAATAAAAACAGCGAGAGGAGTCTTCATTTTCACTCTTTAAAAATAAGTCATCATTGTTTGAAAACTTGTGGGACTCCCTCGTACGGGTTTAAGGATGACACACGTACTGGGGCTCACATTCGACATTCATCCATGTCGGAAACAACTCCAGTAAATATCATTCCACACACTGATTGACTCACCTGAGCCAACCTTCAAAGTTTTTAAAATTGTCTCACCTGCCCTTTCATCCGGAATGTTCTTTGGATTCTTCATCTTGAAAAAATTTCACAGCCACAACACTAACAAAGCCAATGAAGAGGCAACGTTTCCCTTGGCGTTCAACCATAGTTACAAAGAACGCTGCAAAGCATGCTGGGAAGTGAATAACCTTGACATCATATAGTGTCCTGTTAAAATAAGAATAATAATTCAATCTCGTGAATTCCACGTTTTAATCGAGGACTATAATTAGCCACATTTTCCTTCTAGGTGGTCTGCACGATAACAACCCAAAGCCAAAACAAAAACAAATATGTAGCATAATTGTAAAGTGAAGAGATAAGCGCCAGCTGCTTTTTCAAAGTTTTTAAAATTGTCTCCCCTGCCCTTTCATCCGGAATGTTCTTTGGATTCTTCATCTTGAAAAAATTTCACAGCCACAACACTAACAAAGCCAATGAAGAGGCAACGTTTCCCTTGGCGTTCAACCATAGTTACAAAGAACGCTGCAAAGCATGCTGGGAAGTGAATAACCTTGACATCATATACAGTACTGTCCTGTTGAAATAAGAATAATAATTCAATGTCGTGAATGCCACGTTTTAATTGAGGACTATAATTAGCCACATTTTCCATCTAGGTGCTCTGCACGATAACAACCCAAAGCCAAAACAAAAACAAATATGTAGCATAATTGTAAAGTGAAGAGATAAGCGCCAGCTGCTTTGGCGTTGCTATACAGGACAAAGTTCGCAAGTCCAGCAAATAATTACATCGAGTTTGCTCTGCCCACGAAAAACAAATACCAATCAACTCTTTGCACGACATAACATTAAGGACGTATCGGACTTGAGAAAAATGACACGTCGTATCATTTTTTTTTCTCGAACCAAACGTCACCTATTAATAATTTAAGATGATAAATTAGATTTGGAACATGACGAAACGAAGCGGGGAACTCACCTGCCCACGTGACTCACAGCAGAGTAACGGCACAACAATCGTCCTTGGGACCGAACCGAACCGGTCGTGGCCATGATGAGGATCCCGTCAAAGTTTTTTTTTTGCAGGGGGCTCGCAGTCTTACATAGACTCGAAGAGTGTTGGTTAATGTTTAGTTTTGTTGTTATCAGCCGTTCGCCGGGGTGTGGGCGTGGCGGTGGTGGGCGTCTCGTGATGTGGCTTGCGCCAGTCGCAATCGATGGTCAGTCGATCAGACGCGACTTATTGATCGCTGCGGTTGATTGTCGCGCCTTTTACTGGCCACGATGAATTGGAGATGAAACACTGGAGTCGTGATTGCTGTGTGCACTCTGAGCTTGCACACGTCACCTTTTCATTTTTTTGCATTCAATGAGTCTAAAACCAAGGGTGTCAAACACATGGTCCGCGGGCCGAAACTGACCGGTCACGGAGTCCAATTCAGCCGGACAGGATGATTTTGGCAAAGTGCAAAACTGAAAAGAACACGTTAAACTGCAATTTTCCAAACATGTGTTGTTTCTAATTTTGTCCACTGGAGGTCACACAAGGACGCAAGATTTAGAAATATTTTAAAACAAGGATATCACAAAACCTCCGTCAGAGGTTTCAGTTTCAAAGAGCTTGCTTGGTGAGAGCCTTTTGTTTTGTTCATGCACTGCCGCAACTTGTATTTCAAAGTCGATGTTGGCAAGAAGCAATAAATGAGACCCACAAATTTGACAAAAAGTTGTGAGAAAAGAACCCAACCTACCGAAGTCAAACCGCACTTGCTCCGAAGCCAGCAGCGAGGGTTCCTTTCCATCTAGACCAACAGAGAAATCTCTTTAAACGCATGCCGCTAATTGGTGTGAATGAACAATTCTTTGGACTCTTTCACGCAGTGGATGTTGACACGTTTTGTTGCGGACCAGCGCTGGTGGAGAGCTGCGAATGAGAGTGGAAAATGTCTGTCAAGGAAATGTTTGAGATCCACTTGACAGTATTTCTTGTTAGACCATAACACTGCGCAAAAAGTGTTGCATTACAATGTCGTCGTGTTGGAAAAGAAAAAAAAAGTATCTCGTTTACCACTATAAAGTGGACCCCTTCCCACTTTGCTACACCGTCTTAAAGTCATGACACAAAGAACTCGATTGAATAATTTTTTTTTAATTCAAACCATTTCAGTCACTAGTTCAGACTTTAATTATTGCACAGCTCATACAAAACAGCAGTCAAGCACAATAAATACTCTCACATCATTTTCAAGGAAAAATAAAAAAAAAATATTTTAATGTTGACACGTTTTGTTGCGGACCAGCGCTGGTGGACAGCTGCGAATGAGAGTGGAAAATGGCTGTCAAGGAAATGTTTGAGATCCACTTTTAGTGAACTTGACAGTATTTCTTGTTAGACCGTAACACTGCGCAAAAAGTGTTGCATTACAATATCGTCGTGTTGGAAAAGAAAAAAAAAGTATCTAGTTTACCACTGTAAAGTGGACCCCTTCCCACCTTGCTACACCGTCTTAAATTAAAGTCATGACACGAAGAACTCGATTGAATCATTTTTTTTTAACATGTAAACCCTCTACCGTAAAATTCAGTTCCCTAACTATTCACCCGGGAGGTAGTGGCAACATTAGGTGCACACCTCTAAGAAGCTTTTAAGCACGACTGCATTTCAGCGACTGTAAAGAACCGAAGCACTTCTGTGGCCAACTTGAGCAATGGATTCACGTCTGAATGTTATTCATCCGGGCCCTGATTTCCTTGACCCTGGGACTCTCTTTTGTGGTAGCCACATCAATGCCGTAGAAAGTTGTTTGGATGAACGTGTAGAAGTTGAATAAGGCCTCGTCGTAGGAGGCGCAAAACACAAAGTGAACCTTGAACAGCTCGTCAAAGGCACCCACGGCGGTCTGCGCCGCGCAGGGAAGGGCCTTCCGGTCTAGGATGACGTAAAACTTCTGGATTCTGCTCTTCTTTTCGCCAACGCAGAGGAGGAAAGGTTGTGCTGATCCAACACCCTTTAGGAACGCTGTCATGCTTGTGCCGACCTAAGAGGGATGACGCGGATATTAGCAAACGGATTTCTCATATGATTTTCTTTTTCTTGATAGTTCTTTTGTAACAGAGCCGTGTGGTATGAGTATCGCTAAGTGGTTATAATGAGCTTGGCAAGTTAAGTACTGCAACGTACGAGCTCGACAAAGTGACGTCAAAACCCACAATCGCAACTTGGCCGGTTAAAATCGCCCTTTTGAATAAGCCCGGTTTGTTCAAAAGTGATCAGTCGGGAACGGCGACTGGGTCGGTCCATCAGCATCAAAGTGTACAGTCATTTACGTCGAATAAATTGCCTTTGACAGCTGCCTGACAGCTCTCGCCAGCTAGTGCGGCCATGACTAAATGTTGGCGACAGGCGCCGTACAATACAATGTCAGTGGAGTGAAGTCGGTAAATTAGCCATCGAACGTTATTTCCGGACGCCGTTGTGTCGTTACAGTTTGTAGCTAGTAGTATTTTGAAGTTGGCCTTCTTATTGCGTTGACGGCATGGGGCATAGTATGAAGTTTTGTTGCTGCGGTGCCTGGGTACCGTCTACGCACTGGTCAACGTCCAAACAAGGTATCGTGGTACTTTGAGAGCCCAAAATGTTTTACGTTGGTACTTGGCGCACCAAGCTCAAGGATCATCGGGGAAAAAAATAAATGGAAAGGTGTACTCGTGTCAATTCTTTGAATGAGATGAAGCGGCTGTTAAGTAGTGAAAAACAAAGCACCAATGTCAGAGCAGACCTTCATGAACTTAAAAAGATGCTCAGCGGCTTCGGAGGCACTGATTTTGCCGTGCCTTTTCCCTTTTGCGGTCGGAGGTAAGAGATGAACGAGCAAGAGGATCGCTGCCAAGTCGCTGTCCCATCCTAAGTGGAGTCACACGCATGCCAATAAATCACCAGGCACGGCACAAAAGAACGCCTTTTCAAGCGCACATTTGTCAAGATTTACCGGAATCGCTCAATTGTTCCTGAGCAGAGAGAAGCTCGTCCGCTTGAGCGACGGGACGAAGGCTTTTGCAGACGGCGATGACCCTCGGCTTGTAGAAAGTCGGCCATTTTGCCACAAACTTGCCAGAGACGTCGTCTCCGAAGAGCGCGCTGAAATCTTGCTCGATCTAACACAGGAAAGGCCTGTCAAAAGAGCTCTGCATTTCTCTCTCCGTTGCCATTTCAAGTTGAGCCCACATCAGGGTCTTACAAGGCCCGGCGTGTCCAGAAATCGCGGGAAGTGATCCAAGACAAGGGAGGACTGGCCGAGGTCGCGTAACATCTTCTGCCTGTGCTCCAAGGTGGCCTTCATTTTCTCTCGGACGAGCGAAGGCTCCGGCGATTGCTTCATCGCGAATATCGCCTCCGTGCATTGGTCACCCGAGAGCTGTCCGGACCTTGCGCCGAGTCGCAGAGTCTTTGGGCCGCCTTCGAAAGCGGGCCTGGCGCTCATCTTGATTTGCTTTTCCAAAGCGGGCCTGGCGCTCGTCTTGGATTTGCTCGCACTGTTGCGCTGGACCGTTTTCAGCCTGTAGGCCAGGTAACCTTGCCCGCTGCGACAATCATAGTAATGCTCCTGCCGTCCAAAACAAATGTGTGGCAGCCCCAAAAACAAAAAAAAAAAACCCCAAAAAATAAATTCAATAAATAAATGAAGATGACATCATCAAACAAGAAAGCACCGGAGGGGAGCTCAAAACTCACAAAACCCGTTGGTGAGGAGTGGTCTTTGAGATTGGGGAAGAGGGTGACAATTCCAAGGGCGTAGGTCATGCGCACGTCAACGGGAGGGACCCTCCTACGACGCGGCGCATTCCAGGAAACAGAAAACAGACAATTGACATTCCGTTGACGGATAGGCGAGCACAGAGCGGGACAATCTGGACAAAATCACGCAAATGACCACTAATCGATGAGCAAATTAATCGACAGTTTGATTTCTGCGGTCCTCCATGAAAGCGGACTGACTCGTTTCTTGCGTCATCCAAATCGGACATTTTCTGCTCTTCATTCGCAAAACACTGGCCCAAATTTTTGGCTGACCTTCTGACATGTTACGGATCAAACCGGCAACTGAATCATACTTGATTTATCTTCTTGCAATTTCTGCCTTGTCACTTTGACGATAGATATTGTGATATCGCACGGTTCAAAATTGACGGCGAGACTCCATCTAATTACAAAAAAAAAAAAGTTTAAACTCCACATCTGGGGTCCCTTATTGGAGCCCGTCTTTGCACTGCAAAGTGACGCACCCATGGGCGTCCATCATGTCTTCCACCAAGATGTTGACGAGCTTCTTTCTCGTGCGATCCGACAGGCCCTGAGTTTTGTCGTACTCTTCGCAGATATCGTCGCCCCCTGCTTTGTGACAAAGAGCATTGTAAACCACCTGCAACACAAGTCCTGCGTCAGACGGCCTCTTTTGGTTAAAAAAAAGTAATACATTATCAATAATAATAATAATATGTGGCAGCCCAACATCGTACAGGGGCAAAACTCACATCTCTTGCACTGCCGCTGTCAGGCGGTCCCTCGGCCAGGCTCCTTTTGCGTCTTTTCCCGTCTACAATTAAGGCTGAAGCCGAATTCTCTGTTGGGCTCCTCGATGAAGATGACGCGTCCGGCTTTGTTGGCGTGAATGAGCAGGAGCAGGCCTCAGCTAACTTGTTCTCGGCTGAGGGGGACGGCGGAAGAAATTCATTGCAGTGACTCAAGGCTCTCCGTGCCGGCGCGACTCTTTCGTCGTGACAATTTCTTACCGGCGTGCCCAGTGGACACCTTGAACGACACCGGAGCAAATTTCAATAGTTTGTCGAAGATATCCGCGTCCACGTCAACGCCGGAGGAATCCTTCAGGTCTACATGGGCTCCGTTGGGCAAATTAAATTTAGCTGAAACTAAAGACAAAAACAAGCTCACGTTCAATGAGGGCAATTTTTACGGGGCGGGGCTACGAATCACGCGGCGCGCGCTCAAGACAATAGAAACGCAATTTTGAAAGTCACTCGCCGTTTGTTGCCTTGAAAAACAGCTCAGGCGACAAGAAACACCCAAATGCGAAGAAAAGAATTTTCCGTACCCGACTGGACTGATCGGGCAATTCAACCAAAAGCCGACACTGTCAACGAAATCAATCACTTGCAAGACAACGCTTCGATTTCAAGTGGGGCCATTCAACAGAAGAGTTGAAGTTTTGCTGCTGTGAAATTTTGATTTCCCGCATTTCGCAACAAAGACGACTTCCAGCCCCCCCCCCCCCCCATCAACTTTTTTGCTGATTTACGGGACATGACTGACCTTCTTGAATGAATTTGGAATAATCATAGCAGTCCTCCTGGATTGGGACTTGAACCCATTTCTGGACACCCCCGTGCTCCACTTGGACCAGCATTCCTTTGAAATACAAACAGGAAAAGTCTGCCTTTGACCGCGCCACATCCTGACAATGGCACGATATGAAGCTCAAGCGGAACCCGGGGGGGTGAGCGACCCGGCAACTTGCAACCCCGTGCTTGTCCGTCCTCCGCGTCAACATGTTGCTTTTGCTGCAACCGGAGCACGCGTACGATTTTCCAGGTAAACGTGTCCGAAAAATAAATAAATAGATACACATTGAGTGTCCTCACGTTTCTAATCCTACCTGCTTCAGTAAAGTTTTTACCACAGATAAAATGTTCTTTGTGTATGTGAGCAGTCACTCCAGTTGTGTCTTTTTCAGAGCACTTGTGGTGTCTGTGGTCACCTTTGCAGTCGGCTTCGGTCATATCGGTGGTGTTGTCGCTGTGTGACGGTGGCGTTAAGACGTTTTCTGGAGGTGGTCCTCCAGCGCGGTCTCCGCTTGGAACGAGATGCCGAGGAAGCGACTGTGAACACTCTGGTGGTTTCTCTTCATCGTCATCGCTGGTCACAAGGACATCAGTTGGTGGCAACTTGCTGACATCAGCCTCCTCCTCCTCTTCTTTAACGCGGGGGAGCCGGGAACACTCCATATTGGAACTCTCCCCCTGCGCCTCAGGGGGAAGTATTTCCGGGCAAGCAATCAGGAGCTGACCATCTGCAGGATGACAACAAGGTAAACGGTTGAGCAGTTGAGCTCGCATGCAGATGCTGTCAGGAAGGGTACACTCGGAGCTGGGTGCCAGTCAATCGCAGGGCACACAGAGACAAACAATCATTCGCGATCACACCTCGGGACAATTTGGAGCGACCAATCAACCGACAATGCATGTCATCGCAAGATCGCTAGTAATTGTTGTCTTATAGTTCGGTTAGAGACATTCGAGTAAGCCTGTTTCATCATGAATTGAATTCCGTAACGCTTGAGGGCAGAAGGAAGCGATTCAGCCACAAAGGGAAGGCTTGTAAAGATTAATATGGCTGCTCGTCGTTTGATTTGGAGAATCACTAAGAGCTCTTGACACCATTCAAATAAGAACTTGGGAAGATGACATCACCAGTCGCTTGCTTTAGTTATTAATTTTGTTAAGTCGGCGGTGGATGACTTTGATGTGGACGTCTGGTGGCGTCTTACTTTTTTTTTTAAATCCACCACAGCGTAATGTAGCCACGATAGTCATTGAATATGATTTGGCGATGGAGATTCGTGCGCAAAGACTCACGATCGCGATTGTTAGCTCAAGCAAGATGGCATTATTGTTTTTGTTTTGTAATATCCGGTGGTCATTGTGTAGTTACGAGGATTGCGCCCGACAGCGATGATACGCTCAATGATTACGTTTAAGGAGTAAACCTTGGCGGTGCAGCAGCATGTGACTTTTATAAACAGCTTCCAGTTGTCGTCGTTGTCCTTCGTTCTCTTCTCTCGCTCGACAAAGTTGCTCCTCGTACGACGCGATGGTGCTTTCAAACAGGCCAAAGATTTCGTCGGCGGCCGCAACGAGTCGCTCCCTTACCAATTCCTTCAACATTTTGGATGCTTTTTGTACGTGTCGTCTCCAAGCGACATTTACTTCCCGCCTTTCTCTCTTCTGCAGAGGCGATACAATCCGAAATGCGCATGCGTAGTTCGCCCACACCACGCCGCCATATTTAAAAGTATCAACGGTATGCCTTTGGGGACAAAATAATCAAAAACTAATTTTGCGCCTATCAAACAATAGATGAATCAAATGTACTCAATTAAGCTTATAGCGAATGGTCCCCAGGTGAAGTATAACATTTTACCTGCCTTAAAATTACCTTGCTTAGTTTTATCACCAGCCTGTGGGGCTGGGATTTTGAAAACTATATTAAAGATTTGTCATATTAGCAATGTGGTTTGCTTTTATTTGCACTATTTTCCATTTCAGAGTATCAAGTATGTTAGTGTGTCCATTGGGTTTGCCCATTATGTGTTAGCATTGAGGGAGCGACTTTAAGGCAAAGTTATGTTGTTTTGACAAAGGAATTAGGTAGGGCTTAATCTTTTCAAAAGTATTTTGCCATTTGTTGATAAATCCGAAATGCATGAATTTCTCTTCTTGTATTGACCTATTGAGATAAATACTCTGATATACTGAGATGCAAATGCAGTGCTCAAAATAAAAGTTGAAGAACAAATCTCCCTTTCAAGAGCATTGAAAAAGAAGAAACAAGACTTTCAGAGAGGTCGGCATCTCTACGCTCTTTATTGGAAGGGCCGAGACCAACACAAAAAACAACTTGTGACGAGTTAAGGCTGTTCAGAAAAAAATAAATACTATAATCCTTCTCAGAGAATAATACATGCAATGACATTGAAATGTGGAGTAAAAAAAACCAAAATACAAAGAAATAACAATACCATAATGCCATTCAGCATAAAAACTGGGACATCTTGATTTTTTTGAGCCAGGGCAAATCTAGTTTAGTGTGATTGGAAATTTGGCAGATTATGAAGTATTGCACTTGTTGGCCTTCTTTCGTCACACATCTCTTCTATTGTTAAGTTGGAACTGATTAATTACGACTCCCGATGCAGGAAAACATTTTATTCGGCATCATGTTTGCGCATGTGTGCCATCAAGCTGGACTTCTTGAAATAGCTTTGATCACAAACTGAGCAAGTAAAAGGTTTTTCTCCGGTGTGCGTTCTCGTGTGCGCAACCAAGTGTGCCCTTTGAGAGAACATTTTATCGCAAACTGTACAACCGAATGGTTTTTCTCCCGTGTGCGTCCGCATGTGGGCTACCATGTTTGCGCTCTGAGAGAAGATTTTGCCACAAACAGAGCAACGAAAGGGTTTCTCTCCCGTGTGTTTGTGCATGTGTATGCTCAAAGAGAAGCTCTGAGCAAACGTGTCGCCACACACCGAGCAACTAAAAGGTTTCTCTCCCGTGTGCGTTCTCATGTGTTTGATCATGTTTTGCTTTTGTGGGAATGTTTTGGCGCACACTGAGCAGCTGAAGGGTTTTTCCCCGGTGTGCGTTCTCATGTGTGCGTTCAAACTGTGCTTGTAAGAAAGGCTTTCACCACAAACTGTGCACGTATAAGGTTTTTCTCCCGTGTGTGTCGCTGTGTGTGCAATCAAGGCTGCTTTTTTTGCAAACGTAGAATGACAAACGGAACAACTGAAAGGCTTTTCCCCGGTGTGAGTTCTCATGTGCGTAATCACATGTGAGCCTTGAGAGAATCTTTTACCACAAACTGAACACCTGAAGGGTTTCTCTCCCGTGTGTGTCCGCATGTGCACGTTCAAATTTCTCTTATTGGTAAATCTTTCGCCACAGTCTGAGCAGCTAAAGGGTTTTTCTCCAGTGTGCGTTCTCATGTGAACGTTCAAACTGTGCCTGTAAGGATAGCTCACGCCGCAAACGGAGCAAATGAAGAGTTTCCCCCCGGTGTGCGTCTGCATGTGCCGAGTCAAATTGTAATTGTACGTAAAGCTTTCGCCGCACTCTGAGCACCTGAAAGGTTTTTCCCCCGTGTGCGTTGCCGCATGACCAATCAATGAGCCCTTGCGAGCAAATTTCTCACCACAAACTGGGCAACTAAAAGGTTTCTCTCCCGTGTGTGTTCTCATGTGTACATTCATGTTTTCTTTTCGGGCAAAACTTTCACCGCAAACCGAGCAGATAAACCGTTTTTTACCTACATCTGTTCTCTGCCGTTCAGAGCTTCTCAAGTGTCTGTCGTCACTTTCGCAGTCTGCGTCACTCGTAAAGGGTTCTTTCGAGTTGTGACTATGCGACAGTGGTGGGGAGACGTTGTCTGTTGGGGCTTCTCCACTTGACTGTGACCGCTCAGGTGCTTGGTTGTCATCTTCGCCCTTCACGACGACGACAGTCAGTGGCAACTTGCTGACGTCCACCTCCTCCTCTTCCTCCTTGACGTCGGGGCCGTGTGCATCCTCGTTGTCCTCCTGATCCGCAACTGGGAGACACAGGCAACACACCCGCGCTTTTGCTCAAACAAGTCAAAATCCGTTGTTAGTCTTGCTTGAGTGGTTTTTTTCAGTTCAGGTCAAAAAAACTAAAACACCTTAGCGTAAAAGTCACTGTTCTGCTTGACATCTCTTCCCGCCCCCGCAAAAAAGAAACTACACTTTATATATTTTTTTCATGAGCTGACATCAAGACTTTTCAGACACTTGTGCAATAATTGTGCTGTCTAATCACCATGGAACCCCTGTGAGGTGTACAACTAAGTATACATATATATTACAATGCAAAATGATTTTCTACCATTGTTATTGTGACAAACAATGACTTTTGCGTTATGGCGCCACCTGTTGCTTTGCATTTATTGCCGGCGGGCAGGCGTTTTAGGGGATGGAATTTTAAATAAATCTCTGTCTTGGTGGATATTTTCACCAGCATTAGCCATCGGTAATGGAAACACACCTTGGACGTGCCGCACAATCGCATCTCGTTGTCTTTGGTTCTCCGCTTTCGGTTGGTAAAAGAGCTGCTCGTAAGACGGCATCGTTCCTTGAAACAGTATCACGATGTAGTCACTGGCCGCAATTCGATAATCGTTCACCAACGAGTTCGATAATTGATGCTTGTCACAATTTCATTTGAACCCAGTCGCGCTATTTTCGTGCCGCTTCGAAATAATGTTATCTTCCGCTTTTTCTTCTTCGGTGGTGTTTTACGGCAGCGAGGCCGCCATCTTGTGGCGGTACAAAAATAGAAGCGAAAGAGAGAGAGAGAGAGAGAGAGAGAGAGAGAGAGAGAGAGAGAGAGAGAGAGAGAGAGAGAGAGAGAGAGAGAGAGTTCAAAATGACAGACAAGGGAAAACAAAAACAGTGCTACAAAAAGGGCAAAACAGTCTTTATTTGAAAGAACGTGAGCAAAACACTGGTTTGATTTGATGGAACATGGATTCAACTTTTCTACAATTCCTAAGTGGTCTCACAGTTTGGTCCGGAGGGATTTGGAAAATTACAAAAGTTAGATTCTTGGTATTGAATACCCCTCTGATGGATTGGAAATAAACCTATGAGCATGTGAGAGAGCTACACTTTGTCTTGACAAAAAAAAATATTTGCAAGTGTAACTATCATTTTTAAAAGTATCTTCTTCATATTTGGTAGAGAGAGACTTGCTTTCTTGAGGAAGTAAAAAAGCTCCTCTATTGCCTTGAGAATAGTTCACTCATTTGAAGATTATTCCACTTTGTCTCCTTGGAAAAACTGGACATCACAGTTGCTCAGGGCTCAGCCTGTGGATGTCACATGACCAAACCCAAAAAACAGCTGGTCGGTCTATCTCCAGACAATATAACATTACTCACAGGCATGTATTCTTTATCCTCTGCAAAAAAATGACTCAAAGCAAGTGTCTTGATGTCGTTATCTGTATTATAATGCCCCCTACTCGCCAAAAACCTCACAGCAGAAGGAGCATGTGGACTGAAAAAAAAATAGTGGCATTTCCACTTACGTCTCCAAAATTGGGCAGGATTTTTTTTCCTTCACTGTCCTTGATGTTTGCGCATGTGTGCGGTCAAACTGTACTTATAAGAAAAACTTTCGCCGCAAATTGAGCACAGAAAGGGCTTTTGTCCCGTGTGTGTGGCCGTGTGCGCGATCAACGAGACGCGGTGAGCAAAGCGATCGCCACAAAGTGAACACTGGAAAGGTTTTTCTCCCGTGTGCGTTCTCAAGTGCGCGACCATGTTGGCCCTCTGGTTGAATATTTTACCGCAAACGGAGCACGTGAAGGGCTTTTCTCCCGTGTGCGTGTGCATGTGTCGGGTCAAATTGTAATTATAAGCAAATCTTTCGCCGCAAACAGAGCAGGTGAAAGGTTTTTCTCCCGTGTGCGTGACGGTGTGTCCCGTCAAGGAGACCTTGCGCGCAAAAGTTTCGCCACAAATGGAACAACAAAACGGTTTCTCTCCCGTGTGCGTTCGCATGTGCGTCGCCATGTTTGACTTGCGGGCGAACCTTTCGCCGCAAACCGAGCAGACAAAACGCTTTGGCGCTTCCTTTTTCGTGCGTTTGTCATCACCTTCGCAGTCCGTGCCGCTCCTCGACGATTCCTCAGTGTCTTCGCTATGTGAGAGCGGCGCCAAGAGGTTGTCCGCCGCCGCATTCGCCTCCGGTCCTACGCTTGGACTGCGATGGCGAATCTGCGACGACTCGGGCGGCTTGTCCTCGTCGTCTTCATTCTTCACAGCGACAACAGTGGGCGGCAAGTTGCTGACATCCGCCTGCTCCTCTTCCTCTTTGAGGCAGGGAGGCTGTGGATCCTGGTCTGCAGGAAACAAATCAGAACCTCATAGTAGATATGTGACACGTGGCTGTAATCTTTGTAGAATTTTAACATTTAAAAAATTAATAGAATGAACATTTCGAACGCCTTGAAAATTCTCGCTAAATTCACACACACAAACACACAAAAAAAAACAAATATTGTCTGTGGACCAGATCAACAATTTTCACTGAACGTATGCTTCTGCAATTAGTTATGTTGCTTTTAAGGCTTTTGACGCATCATAACGTGGGGCGCCAATAATTATGGAGGGCAATGAACCCCAGATGACTTTGGGTGACCGGTGGAATATACCATGGACCGGTCAATTACTGGGGACATTAAGACAAACAGCCTTTACATTACCGACCATGCAGATAGATAGACAGATAGACAGAAACATTGAGAGTCATCCATTTGTCTTTCTAAAACGCTTCGGGTTGGCCAAAATGACCTTTTACAGTTGAGTCTTACCGTGTTTGATCGCTAATACAAAGTTTATTCAACGTGTGCAGACCTTGGATGTGACTTTTTGGGCGAACGGCTTCCAGGTGGCGTTGGTGTCGCTCGTTCTCCTCTCTGGCGCGACAAAGTTGCTCCGCGTACGACGTGATGGTGCTTTCAAACAGTTCTAGGATTTCGTCGGCAGCCGCCATGAGTCGCTCCCTTACAAACTCCTTCAACATTTTGACAGCAACTGTTTTTTCGTCCGCTCGGCTATTTCATTCCCAAAACATGAAACGGAATAAGAGGAGCCGCCACTGCGCATGCTCATATCAGTCGCCATCTTGGTTCGTTTTGCAATCAGTTCTTTGTTGAATATATCACGTTAACAATAAACAAAACGGAAAATGACTCGTCGCATTTGATTTTTACAGGAACCACATACTTCCTTTGCTTTGAAAACATATTGTTTCGGTTCATCAACGATCCACCTGTGAACAAAACTATCTTTTAAATCAATTTTTTTACCCCCTTTACAAATGTGAAGGAACATAAAACTTTGAGTTTGTGTTCCATACAGTATAAGGAATTCTTGTAATATGGAACTCCGTCTCTTTTCCTCTTTGTATGTCACCTACTGGCCGTTCTTTTTGAACGTTCCGTTGTAAATAAAGACAAAATCAATGTAAAACTCGCCGCGGAGATTGTACGGCAACCGCTTTTGGACAAAGTACGTGTTACACTCCCGAAGACGCGAATGCGGGAATTTAATTACATTTTTATATATTTGTGGCTTTTAATCAGTTATTTTTTCTAACCACACAATATAGTAAGAGTCAATTCACCAAGTGCGTGTCAATTACGGCCGTCAGTCATCCAACAAGGGTGCCGAGCGGCAGTACAGAAGACAGTCAACTCACTGAGAGTCCGTGATTCATGGCAAGTGCAATATCATCGCCTTTATTGCAACGAATGTGACACACTACATTCAAACAGCTCAGAATTTCTGCAGTAATGAAAATAGGATAATCCAATGCATATGAAAATGCGATGACATTACACTGCGCAGTCAAAGCATAACTATAAAAACCTCTAAGTGTCACACACAAGTGATAAAATTCTCTCACACAACTCTCATAATCGCCATTTACCATTAACAAAGTGAATAGTGTTTTTTTTCGGTGGAAACTCACTACAGTATTGCATTGAAACCACACCGATTTGCATTGTGTGTGCGTGTGTTTGTGTGAGTGTTTGTGTGTGTGTGCGTGTGTGCGTGTGAGCAAGCTTTGTAAGTTAGGCGGGAGCTAAGCTTAGCCTGGGTTGAGTGGAAGTTATGGAGAGTCTTTTCTGCACTTGCTGTAAAAGTGTACTTGTAAGACATTTATTTTGAAGGGTAACGGTGGAAATGATGTGACACCGTTTCGGGGCCACATTTATGGGATTTCTATGGTTTAAACTATAAATAGAGCAATTCTAAAAACCTTTTTTAGATGGGGCCATCCAAAACAGGGGAGGTTAAAGTCCATTGCAGATTGCATGTAACCGTCATTTGAGGACAGACGCCAAGCCGCAAAGCATTTATTTGCTATTGTGTTTCCGCATGTGTGTCGTCAAGCTGCACTTCTTGAAGTAGCTTTTGTCACAAAGGGAGCAGGTGAAGGGTTTTTCTCCAGTGTGAGTTCTCATGTGTGCGACCACGTGTGCCCTTTGGGAGAAGATTTTCCCGCAAACTGTACAACTGAAAGGTTTCTCCCCCGTGTGCGTCCGCATGTGCACATTTAAGGAGAACCTGTGGGCAAAGGTGTCGCCGCAAATGGAGCAGCAGAAAGGTTTCTCTCCCGTGTGTTTCCGCATGTGTACACTCAAGGAGAACTTGTGAGCAAACGCATCACCGCAAACGGAGCAACAAAAAGGTTTCTCTCCGGTGTGCGTCCTCATGTGCTTAATCATGTTTGGCTTCTGGGGGAATCTTTTCCCGCAAACGGAGCAACAGAAGGGTTTTTCTCCCGTGTGTGTCTGCATGTGTGCATTCAAACTGTGCTTATAAGAATAGGTTTCGCCGCAGAGTGAGCAGGCGAAAGGTTTTTCTCCCGTGTGTGTCTGCATGTGTGCATTCAAACTGTGCTTATAAGAATAGGTTTCGCCGCAGAGTGAGCAGGCGAAAGGTTTTTCTCCCGTGTGTGTCGCCGTGTGCGCTGTCAAAGAGACTTTCTGAGTAAATTCTTCACCACATACTGAGCAACGAAAGGGTTTTTCTCCGGTATGTGTTCTCATGTGTTTTTTCATATGTTCCTTTCGAGCAAATATTTTACTGCAAACCGAGCAGGTGAAACTTTTTTTACCTGTTACACATCTAATATCAGTCGAGTCCTTTTCGGAGTGCGGGAGGCGTTTGTCGTCATCGTCACAATCTGCATGACTCCTCAAAGATTGTTCTCTGTCGTCACCGTCTGACAGTGGAAGCAAGAGCTTGTGTTGTTGTGGTCCTCCACGGCGCTCCCCACTTGGAAAGCGGAGGAGATCAACCTGGGATGAGCCGGATTGTTGGTCGTCTTCACTCTTAACCACAACCACCACATTGAGCGGCAACTCGCTGACGTCAGCCTCCTCGTCCTCTTCCTTGACGTGAGAGGACTGTGGAGCCTCCCCTTCCTCTTTGATGACAAGACACAGCTGATGCGGGTCTGCGGGACACAATCGCAATTGAGCTCGTAGCGCATTGGGAAGTATTTGGCCTTTTTCGACCACAGGATTGTTGTTCGAGTCCTGCGGCGGACAAATAAAATGGTCTCCTTACTCCATTCACAGATAATAGATGGATGGATGGATAACTAGTAGAATTAAATTAGCCCAGACACGTCAAATGCAGTGAGTTTAGTTTGGGACTTTTAAATTCAAGTTCAAGAGTAAATCCATTTTCCTCGATTCGAATTCACCCACGACCGTTGGATATCTCTTTGGAATTATTTGGTTGAAATGACATAAGCGCGCGAGCGAGGGGTGGGGTGTTGCAAGGGCTCTGCACATTTTCTTTATTTAGACTTTTCCAGCATTATTGATGATTTAGTGACGTTTGAAGCGCGCGAACCCGTTCTTAACTATTTACAGCGTTTTGGGTGAGGCATGTTTTCTTATCTCTTATTCTTTAGTGGGGAATATCGGCGCCAATTGTTGTGTTACTCCGTGAGGCGACAGCCTGTTTGCCACAGCTCCGTTAACGTGATTTAAAAACTTCCCTACTTGAGTCTTTTCCACTCACACTCAGCATTTCAGCTATAAATGTTTATCTATCTATCCATCCATCTGTCTAAATTTAAGACAGTTGACTGAAGAAAGGCAAAAGTGCAACATCATGAGTATGTGACGATGTTCTGATCACATGTTGCTTTGCTGCTCAAGTCAAGAGTTAGTCAACAATGATGGTCACCGCCACCGAATCAATTCATGAAGTGCGTTTTCCTGTGTTGACTAGTCCACGAAGGGCAAGCCGAGTAAACGTGACCAGACCTTGGACGCGAGTTTTTGGCCAAACGTCACCCAGTAGTCGTTGTCGCTCGTTGTCCTCTCTTGCGCGACAAAGTTGCTCCTCGTACGACGCGATGGTGCTTTCAAAAAGGCCGAAGATTTCGTCGGCGGCCGCAATAAGTCGCTTCCTCACCAACTCCTTCAACATTTTCATGTTGTTTATCGCGTTGTTTAATCGCGGTTCTGGGTTCTTACGTATATAGTTGAAGCCCCTCCCCCCATCCACTTCCTCAACGCCTGTGAATGCGCATGCGTAAGAAGGCAGCCATCTTTGAAAGGCGTCAACGGTGACGCCCGAAGAGACAAAACATGTTCAATTTTATCTACCGTGTTAAATTTTTCAAATGTGAATTTACAAAAATATTTGCTGTGTTAAGGACCGTTAAGTGCAGACATTGTTCTTATATTGTTACAATAATTACGTGCTATTTATCTGGAGGCATATTTTCAGTCACCAAAAGGAACCCTCATTTGGTTGATGCTGTCAGTCAGTCCTTAATTCGATTCCTCGGATCATCTTTATTTCTGATATCCACACAGTAGTCCTAAACTTTTGAAATCCAGGAGTGTAGTCAACTCACCTCAACCCGGTATTACAGAGCACTTTAAAACAACCACCACTGTATGCAAAGTGCTGTTGAAAGAGCAAAAATAAGTCACACAACAACAAACAATAAAAGAATAGCAGATAGGAAAAAGCGCAAAAAAGCAAAACTAATACCAAATCTTATGCCCCCCCCCAAAAAAAAGCCTCTGGAAATGGGTCAAATTTAGACAGCCAGGCTTCATGAGCAAGGCGTGCTCCGCAGCATGTTGGAATTGTTGAGCAACTACACAAGAAGACAGAGTGTTGTTGATAATAGCCAAGACCGATTTATCTTAGCGGCAAATGCAAGGTTTTTTTTTTCCCAGGGTGTCGGATTAGGTCAAGTTTGGCACATGAAAAGTTCTTTTGAAGACAAATGAAAAGCTGCAAAAACGTTGTCAGAATCTGAACAGACTCCGCTTTATTTTCAAGATTGTGATTTATTAACAAAACATTTGAGACATGACACTTCATGGAATGAAACACAGCAGAGACAAAGTAATACACAAATCGGAATCTAACAGGCAAATACTACGCTAACGTTGTAATGTTGGCTAAGGATAAGTGAAAACGTTTGAAGCCATTATTTTAAAATGAAGGTATAAATACTGATCAGACCAAGGTTGCCCTGAGTGCCGCACACTATTTACAAACGATCGCTTCAATCGATTATGACATCAATCCCACGTTTGATCGCAAATGCGGCGGGAGAGCCTTCATTCTGCCTTATGTTTGCGCATGTGTGCCGTCAAACCGGCCCTCTTCAAAAACCTGTCGTCGCAAAGTGTGCACGTCAACGCTTTTTCATCGGTGTGGGCCCTCTGGTGTCTACTCATGGCCGACTTGTGAGAAAAGTTTTTCCCGCACAGTGAACACGTATAAGGCTTTTCTCCCGTGTGTCTTCTCATGTGCGCGACCAGATTTTCTTTCCGGGCAAAGCTTTCGCCGCAAACTGAGCAAGTGAAGGGTTTTTCTCCGGTGTGTGTCCGCATGTGTGTGTTCAAACTGTGTCGATAGGAGAGGCTTTCACCGCAAATGGAGCACGTGAAAGGTTTTTCCCCCGTGTGCGCCGCCGTGTGCGCAATCAACGAGACCTTGCGGGCAAACTTCTCGCCACAAACCGAGCAACTAAAGGGCTTTTCTCCTGTGTGCGTTCTCATGTGCTTGGTCAAGTCGGACTTATAAGAAAAGTTTTTATCGCAAACAGAGCACGTGAAGGGTTTCTCTCCCGTGTGTGTCGCCGTGTGGGCGATCAAAGTGGCCTTGTGAGCAAACTTTTCCCCGCAAGCAGAGCAACTGTGAGGTTTTTCTCCCGTGTGCGTTTTCATGTGCTTATTCAAGTAGTCTTTAATCAAATACACTTTGCCGCAAACTGAGCAAGTGAACGGATTTTCTGCCGTGTGCGTTATTTTGTGCACGATCAGAGCGACCTTTTCTTTAAACGTCAGGCCGCAAACGGAACAGATGAAAAGTTTTTCTCTGCTGTGCGTTTTCATGTGGCGAAACCTGTCCGCCTCGATAAAGCTTTCCCCACAAACCGAGCAAATGAACTCGCTCTCATGTGTGTCCGCTCCCACTTCAGTTGTATCCTGTAGGGAGGGAGTGATGTCGCCGTCGTCGCTGCGCAAACCTTCTTCTTCGTGTGATAGTGGAGGCAAGCCCATGTCTGCTGGTGGGCCTCCACTCGGACTGTGTTGATGAAGCTGCGAGAAGTCAAACGCGTCGTCCTGGTCGTCCTCGCTCTTCACGACGACAACGTTCAGTGGCAACTGGCTGACGTCCATCTCCTCCTCTTCCTCCTTAACGTGGAGCAGTTTCGGATCTGCTGCTACCTCAATGATGTTGGGCTGCTGCGGGCGCTCGTGCGGCTGCGGGAAAAGTTCCTCTTGGCAATCTTGGAAACACAAGAAACAAACAAAAAAACAATTAAAAAAAAACTTAAAATATACAACTCGGTGTCCAAAAAGTGGTAGGAAGAAAAACGCTAATCTTATCAAGAAATACAGTTGAGACTAGGGGTGAAGCAAGTCCTCAAGCAATTCGAGTACCTCAATTAAAAAAAAAAAAATTGCATGATTCCTTTTTTTTTTCCTGCCTCTGGTAACCGTTTATTTTTGTGTACACTGTCAGGGAGAACTCAAATCAATCGCAGCAACAACATGCTTGTAGCACGCGGCCAACGTGGTGACAAAAGCCAACTTCATGGTCAAATCCTACCAAAGACTACATGGCCATCAATGCCGTGTTATGCTTTTATTTTGAAAATGTTCCTGACACGGTGACCGACTTAACTCGTCTTCCCGACCGTTCATTTGAACGTTTAATTTTGCACTGAAAACTGCTTACATGTCTGCTGAAGACTAATTCAGTACAAGTACTGATATGTTAAGTGCCATAAATTGCTGGCAACCAGTTCAGGGTGTACCACGCCGAAGACAGCCGGGATAGGCTCCCTTGTGAAGATAAGTGGCTCGGACAATGGATGGATGGATAATAACTGCGATTACAATATTGATTAAAAAAACAAAACAATCGTAATTAGCATCCTAGCCATAACCGTGCAGCCCTAAAAAAACAGGAACGAATCCGGCAGAACCTCCGGTCAGAAGGCCAAAGGGTGGAAATGGTTCCTCTGGGTCTCCGGTGGCACAATACTGCCCTCTACAGGTCAATCCCGGTACTACGCCAGACTTTCCTTTGGACCACGACTAATAGTTTGTGGGCAGATCATTAAATGTTTGACGTTGAGCATTTTTTGTGGTGTGGAAGTAACAGTACTGTAGCGTATGTTCCCCACCGCGTGTTGGACACTGACCTTGGGTGTACAGCACGACCGGAGGCGAGAAAATGTCGTTCTGCTCTCGCTCGTTCTCTTCCGTCGCTCGACAAAGTCGCCCCTCGTAAGACGCCATCGTTTCTTTACAAAGTACCCCAAGATTCAAACAACTTCGATGCTTTCTTCGGCACAAATATCACGTCGCTCTTTGGCTCTCGTCGACCCATTCGGCGAGTTCCACCTTCTACCTCTTTTCTCCCTTGTCTTCTTCGCTGGTGCTTTGTTGGTCAACAATTCACATGACCGCCCTCTTGCGGCAGTAAGAGGAAGACGATTTAGAACGTGCCCAAAAATAAGGACGCTCTCGCTTCGATTCAGTGGAACGGATGGAATAACGACAACGACATGGGTGGGTTCTTTACCTTTGACTAGGAAGTGAAGATAGCCCATCGATTTATGATCATATGCACACTACCCCCTGAACTGGTCGCCACTCAGTAGCTGCCAGCACACAAGTCAGGGTAGTGTAACATATAAATTGTATTTTATTGAAATTATATCACAGATAAATTGTCCAATCACACCGTGTTTACCAAACATAATTTTCCTTTGAAAAAAACAAAACATATAGAAGTGTGTCACTCACTCATTTTATCTGTGACTGCACACACATTTCTTCTAAGAATAAATACATCTTTACAGGAAGTGATATTAAAAGCCTCTAAACAAATATTTAACTCAGCCATAATATTTCTTAATTTGTCCATTTTATTTTGATCCTTTTCATGAAGTCCTCTGAGTATCAATTCAAAGGCTAAAAAAAAAGGTTCCACATAGACGTTTATTCACCGTTGTGTTTCTGCATGTGCTTCGCCCTGTGTAAAATCCATGTGATCTTGTGAGCAAACTTGTCACCGCAAACTGAACAACTAAAAGGTTTTTCTTTTGCGTGCGTCGTCATGTGTCTCGTCATGTTGTACTTGTGGGAAAAGCGCTCGTGGCAAACGGAGCAAGCGAAAGGTTTTTCTCCCGTATGCGTTCTCATGTGCGGCGTCAAATTGTGCTTGTACCTGAAGCCTTCGCCGCAAATCGAGCAGCTGAAGCGCTTCTCCTCCCGGTGCGTCCACACGTGCTCTTTCAAATGGTGCCGGCGGGAAAAGCTTTTAGCGCAAAGTGAGCACGTGAAAGGTTTTCCTCCCATGTGCACCGCCGCGTGCGCAATCAAAGCCACGTTGTGATGGAATCTCTCACCGCAAACTGAACAACTCAAAGGGTTTGGGCTCCTCAAAGGTTCTGTCGTGTCGTCATCATGTGAGAGTGGATCCGAAAGGTCGTCCGGTGGTCGTCCCGTGTGTGTTGTCATGTGTCTACTCATGGTTCCTTTTTGAGCAAACGTTTTGGAACAAACTGAGCAAGTGAAGGGTTTTTCTCCGGTGTGCGTCCTGGCGTGTGATTCCATATGCACCTTTTGAGTAAATCTTTTCGCACAAACCAGGCAACTGAAGGGTTTTTCTCCCGTGTGCCTTCGCATGTGTCGGGTCAAAATGCACTTGTACAAAAAGGTTTTGCCGCAAAGTGAGCACCTGAAACGTTCTTTACCCGTCTTCTTTTCCGAGTCTTTGTCCTGATCTTCGCAGTCCGCATCGCTCGCATCTTCCCCTTCGTCACTGCAGGACATTGGGGCCGAGAGCTCGTCAAGTGGTGCTCCTCCACTTGGGCTGCGTCGATGAAGTTGTGACCGCTCGGCCAATTCGTCTTCGTCGTATTCACGCTTTACGATGACGACGTTCGGTGGCAAGTGGTTGACGTCAAATTCCTCCTCTTCCACTTTGACATGGGGGGGCTGTGGATGGTCATCTTCTTTAACTTGGGGGGGTAGTGGCCCCTCCGCTTCCTCTTTAACGTGGAGGGGCTGCGGAGGCTCAGAACTAGAGGCCAGCAGCTGCTGGACATCTGCAGGACACAAGCAACATTTACTTTGCTTAATGAACGACAATTATTATGGATTAAATATGATTGAACAAAGGAGCGCGTGACTAACTAAATGGGCGCGTGCCAGGTTTAAACAGTGGTTAAGAATATAATATCTCACAATTTGTAAACCTCAAGGCTACATGTTTCGATCACTCCTATTCGAATCGTTTCCGGCTTCTCTCTCCAAGGATCATGTAACACTTCGATTATTTCTTCAAAACTAGAATAATAACCTTTGCACTAATGTCATTTTTTTCATCCATATACAACAACCTTCCTGCATTTCGAACACGTTTCAACAAATGTGCCATCTACATCAAATAAACTAAACTGCCTACTGCTTTATTTATTGCTGAAGAAATGCATTCAAAGTGGATAACAGACCTTGAACGTACACAATTGGAGTGGAAAAAATGGCGCCCTGATGTTGTCGGTCGTTCTCCTCTCTTGCTCGACAAAGTTGCTCCTCACAAGACGCCATCATTATTTCTTACAGTCCATCTATTACTTTAGATTACTTACAAACCGCTTTCGACAGTTTGCTACTTCAACAGCCCCGAACTCCAAAACTCTCCGTCTGCCAACGGAAACCTCAGCATCAACTTCCGCCTTTTTCTTCGATGGTGGAAGCCATGTTGCAGCGGTAGCACACAACGTGCACGGCCGCCATCTTGCGTTGGTATTGAAGATGGCTCAAAATGAGCCCAGGAAAAGAAGAGCCGCAGAGAGGCCAGAAAAACAAACTTGTTTATTGCAAAGATTGTGAGAAGACAAAATATTTATCATTTTATGACGGCTATGCGAGCAATCGGGCAACTTTCAAAATCAATAAAACCTCACAGGGGCTATTCTAAAAAGCCCAAAACATTTAACACACAAATGACCATTATGGATGGTGTCCCTAAAGTCTGGAAACAATGGAAATACCATTACACATGTCTTGTAACATCCAGGAATGAAACATAGAAATAATATTAAATATTCATTGTCATGTGGAGTAGTCTCCACATTTACCAGACTTAAGCCCCAATGATTTATTTTGTTTGATAGATGGTATTTGTTCAAGTTGTAAACGAATGAAATGTCTTGAAAATGTCATCCCTTGGAAATGTGTGACTTGAGGGACACTCTGTACACAATACGGATCTGTGTTTCTGTATTTATTTATTTTTTTCCAACCATTGTATCATCATATTCTTACCTTTTTTCAATTTCACAAACCCCTGGCGAGACTGCAATAGCCGCAAATTGGACCGAGGGAGAAGGCCATGTTTTGTCAAAGACAAATGTTTATTTCCCGTTGTGTGTCCGCATGTGTGCGTTCAAATTCTGCTTATAAGAAAAGCTTTCACCACAAGCTGAGCAGGTGTAAGGTTTTTCTCCCGTGTGCGTTGCTGTGTGTGCAGTCAAGGAGGCCTTGTGTGCAAAGTTGTCGCCGCAAACTGAGCAACAATAAGGTTTCTCCCCAGTGTGCGTTCTCATGTGTCTGCTCATGTTGTCTTTGACCGCAAACCTTTTGCCACAAACTGAGCAAGTGAAAGGATTTTCTAAGTGGGTCATGCTGTGTGCAATCAAACTGGCCTTTTGTGCAAAGCTGTCACCGCAAACCGAACAACTAAAGCGTTTTTCTCTTGTGTGCGTCCTCTCGTGTCTCGTTAAATCGTACTTATACGAAAAGCTTTCGCTACAAACGGAGCAGCTGAAAGACTTTTCTCCCGTGTGCGTCCATAAGTGTGCTTTCCAACGGTGCTTATAAGAAAAGCTTTTATCACAAAATGCGCACGTGAAAAGTTTTTCTCCGGTGTGCCTTGCTGTGTGTGCAACCAAAGAGACCTTGTGACGGAATTTATTGCCACAAACTGAACAACTAAACTTTTTTTCCCCCGTGTGCGTCCTCATGTGTACGTCCATGTCAGACTTTTTCATTAATCTTCGACCACAAACTGAGCACGTGAACGATTCTTTGGGAGTGCGAGCGCTCGTGCGTGCCTGATGTGTTTTCTTGTTAAGGGTTGTCTGGTCACCTTTGCGGTCTGCCTGGCGCTTTAGGGGTCCTTCCGCGTGGAGGCTACGTGACTGCGGCGGAGCTAATCGCGCATCTGCTGGGGCTCCTCCGCAACCTCCTCCACTCGGACCGCCGTGATGAAGCCGCGACCGCTCGGCTGCTTCGTCTTCGCTCTTCACCACGACCACAGTCAGTGGCATCTGGCTGATGTCGACCTCGTCCTCTTCCTCTTTCATGTGGGGCGGCTGTTGACAGTCCAAACCGGAGCTCCCTGCCTGCGGCAGACCAGGAAGTTCCTCTTGGCGACCAATCACCTGATGGATGTCTGCAAGACAGGAGTGAAACAAACGGTGTTTTCCTCACAAAAGACATTCCGTCGGGCCCCATCCTCATGCTTGCCTACGGAGCGGAATCTTGCTTTTCCGTGATTATTTCAATCTTCATGAAAACGATTTAATTTCACAGGATTCATTGTTGTGTGTGGAAAGTCTTTAAGGGCTGCCGCACACTCAACTCTAGTTGCCAATTACGCTGATTTACTTTAAGTCGATGGTCCCCAACCACCAGTCGGCGGACCGGTACTGGGCCACGGCCCTTGTGGGACAGGGCCGGACAGGGACAGACCTGCGAGCTGTGAGCAAATGTACTCCATCGGACGTGGAGGAAATGTGCGCGATTCTAGCCAATCGGAGTCCCCCTTCTAACAGTGGTTTGCAAGTTGAAATAAACAGAATCCGCCGATAAATGAAAGACGAGGCGGCAAACAGAAAGTCAAAGAAACAAATTGAGCAAAACTACAGCTAAAACGCGCAATTGAAGGGCAGCCAAGACCTCCGAAGATGAAGCTACTGTATTTTGACAAGAGAAGTTCCTCCCGAGCGGTAAGTCCAGAGCGACGTGGAGGAGGAAATTGTTGTGCATGGTATGTCGTCAAAAACAAGGCAATGCAAAAAAACTGTTGAATCATTTAAACAAGTAGCACCCAAGTGATCAAGTGCAAAGTTTGCAAGTAGCAATTATGCTCACGCCGTATATAAGGTCATAACAAAAAAATATATATATTATGTTTACATTATAAGGCACATTTATTATTCCTGATTGGTCCATTTCTTTGTAGTTTACCGTTTTATTTTTTTTTCTACATTTGTTGTACAGTACAATAACACCGTTTGAAATGAATGAAAAACAACCGATGTTAATGAAATGTTTAATTACTCTATTATTATCCTCGTTGTCATTATCAGTGGTTTAAAACTGGCAATTTCAAAGCAATGGAAAAAAATGGTTGCCGGTCCGCGAAACGCATGTATTTGTCTCTACTGGTCCGTGACCCTAAAAAAAGGTTGGGGACCACTCCTTTAAATGAGAACAAAAAAGTGGAAGGCAGCCGAACGTGAACAGACCTTGAAAATGCAACACGATCGGAGCCAAGAAAATGTCGTCGTGTTGGCGCACGTTTTCTTCTCTCGCTCGACAAATTTGCTCCCCGGACGAAGCCATCGTTTCTTCAACAGCTTTATCGACGCTTCCAACGATTTACTGTATTCGTTTAAAGAGCACGCGTAGACAAACTCACAGTTTTGCCTCTCTTCGTCCTGTCATCCAAATTTCCGCCCATTTCTTCTTCGTTGGTGGCTTTACGGCAGTTGACCATTCTGCCGCACGGTAGCCATCTTGCAACGGTATTGAAGCCAAACAAGTGAAGAGACACACAGAGGCCAGACTCTGTTTATGGAGGGTTTTATTAAATAGATGATAGCAACATAGAGGTAACAATGACTTGTGACTGTTGTACGTCCAGAGGCAGTATTTGAATCCACCCACCACGCAATTCTAAAACAAAAATAAACCATCACAATTGTTAAAAGTCCAAAACAACGAACACACAAAGCTCAAAAGACTGGTCAACAAACATTTGGATGACTAACCTGTCAATGTTTTCTCACAACTGGTCAGCAAAACTTTTTAATTGTCTGTTGTGTGTCAGCATATGTGCGGTCAAACTGTACTTATAACAAAAGCTTTTACCACAAGTTGAGCAGGCGAAAGGTTTCTCCCCTGTGTGCGTCCTCGTGTGTCGGTTCAAATCGGACTTATTTGCAAAGCTCTTGTCACAATCGGAGCAACTGAAGGGTTTCCCTCCGGTGTGTGTTCTCATGTGTTTGTTCAAGTAGGTCTTGATAGAAAAGCTTTTGTCGCAAATGGAGCAAGTGAAATGTTTTTGTCCCGTGTGTGCCAATGTGTGCGCAAGCAGAGAGGCCCTTACAGCAAACGTGTCACCACAAATTGAGCAACTGAAAGGTTTCACTCCCGCGTGGGATCGTGTGTGTCTGTTCAGGTCAGACTTATTGGTAAAGCTTTTCTCGCAAACGGAGCAGCTGAAAGGTTTTTCTCCCGTGTGAGTTCTCATGTGCTTGTTCAAGTACGTCTTAATGGAAAAGCTTTTATCGCAAATGGAGCACGTGAAAGGTTTTTCTCCCGTGTGTGTTCTCAAGTGTTCGACCATGTTTATCTGTTGTGTGAACGTTTTAGCGCAAATTGTGCACCTGAAGGGCTTTTCTCCTCTGTGCGTTGTCCTCAGGTGTCGATTCATTTCTGACTTTTTCATGAACCTTTGTCCGCAAACTGAGCAACAGAAAGGTCTTTCTCCTGTGTGCTTCTGCATGTGTGCATTCAAAATACTCTCATATAAAAACATTTTACCACAAACAGAGCAGGCAAAATCCTCCTGACGCGTGTGATGTCTTCCGCGTGCTTGACTGCTTGTCTTGATCAAGGTTGTCTCTTTTTCAGATTTATTTGAGTGTTTGCCGTCCCCTGCGTAGTCTGCGTCACTCTCGAAACACTCTTTGGCGGCGGCGGCGCTATGCGACAGTGGAGCTGAGAGCGTACCAGGTGGCGCTCCTCCACACTGCTCTCCACCTGGACTGTGATGATGAAGTTGCGCGTCGTCGTCTCCGTCGTCTTCGATCTTCACAACGAAGACAGTCAGTGGCAGCTGGCTCACATCAACCTCCTCCTCTTCCTCTTTGACATGGGCGGGCTGAGGTTCCTCCTCCTCCTCCTCTTTGACATGGGGGGACTGTGGATGCTCCAAACAGGAGCTCTGCTTTTGCATATGTGGAGGAAGTTGTTCATGACGAGCCATCACCTGCTGGACGTCTGTAGGACAGAAGCAGCACGGTTGAAGAGGAGTACAAACATACAAAGATCTCTGGATGAGTTTGCGCCCAATTCCGCCCTGTCGACTGAAGTCAGCAAAGACTTGACTGTCTGAAGGCTCTAAAGGTGATCCTGACAGATTCCACTGTGGTGGCACAGTCTCCCTCCATTATCAAGCAACAGCACTTACTTTAGAGACACTGGTCCATTCATTAATATTTATTGCGGTCCAATTTCTGCCTTTGTATGATCAATCAAGTTTAAACGTCCTTCGGTTCTCCTTCCCTGTGTGTATGTACTGTAACTGCCGTCATTTATATTCACTTTGCATCTCATTTGTTGCCGATTCATGCTTTCTTGGATCCAGTCAGTGTTACAATACGACAAACCATGATCCTAAAACCGTTTAGGATCCTTTTAACCTCCCTCTACAGCACGGTAGTAGCTGTACGTCACTGAAAACGTTCCCCAGAACAACATCAACATTGCAACAAAGAATCCCGGTATTCGCACTGGGAACTATTTCGTCTCCGTTGTGTTTGAAATAACAACACGCCATAATAAGAAAATTACAGTATCTGCCCTGCAACCCGACCGTTCTTGTGAACATTGAACATGTAAACGCTCATTATCGCACCTTCACCTTTCATGTGAGCCAGCAAAATGGCGTCCTGCTGTTGCTCGTTCTCCTCCGTCCCTCGATAAAGTTGGTCCCGGGACGCCATCAGTGAAAGACACTAATATTCTCCGTTTGTCCTTGAGCTGTTTCGATGTTTTCTGCAACGCAATTTAGACGTCGCGACTTACTTATCGTCGTCACCGTCCAAGCATTGCCTTGTTATTGTTCGACTTCCACCTTTTCCGACGTCGATGGTAGTTTTACGGCAGCCAAGCATCACGTTGCAACGGCTGCCATCTTGCGGCGGTACTGACGAAAGACCGCTGTCACGTTTACAATCACGACAAAGTGAACATTTGCAGACAAAAGAAACGACAACCTCACAAAGGCAAAACTAATCGTACACAGTGTAATGAACACACCCCATTATCAATTCAATAGAAGGAACCTGTTCATTCCAAATCACTGACTTAAATGGTCAATTGTAATTTGTAATTGTTTCATTACGATGTAATGAGAGGTTTCACTGTCAAGGCTTTTGATTTTTAAACCGGACCGGCGGGTCCCACTCTCATTCAGTGTGAGGTATTTTGAAAAAGAAAAACTTTTTGGAGTATGTAGAATATTTCAATGCAATTTGAAGACATAATTCTCATGAGCATATATTTTAAAGAAAAGTATAAAACAGATAGATTTAATATTGATCCCCCTTAGATCCGAGTGGCAATTTATTTTCTTCGGCAGTATAGAAATACCATATCTAAAATACAGCATGGCGTGTTTTTATACCATTTAGGGTACCTTTTAAAAGGTCTTTACACACACACATGAAAACATTACAAACATGTACTTGGGAGTCAAAGCAATGAATAACACAAGGTTATTGTACTTGGCTCCCTCAAGTTAAATAAAGGACACTTTTCTGCTCGTCTCCAAGCTCGGTAGTTAAATCGATATAAACCGCAGAATATAGAAATGATCACAAAAGATTGGTTCTGTATAATCGCTATCAATTAGGGACATTTACGTTTCAGGATCTGGCAACTCTAAACAGATTCTTGATTTCATATAAACATTTCAATATTGATCATCTTGGTCAGTGTTCTGTCTCGTGGTAGTTGCCAAACAGCCACGAAAAGATCCAGTTGACCTAATTGGATGAGCAAAATTGGAAATGGGAAGCTTATTGTTGTTTTTGGAAAAAAAATGTTCATCACGTACGGAACAAGCAACTGAACTTAGTTGGTCTGCTTTGATGGAATGGACGATTAAAGTCGACAACAAGAAAAAAACAAGTCACGCTGTCAATGATTTATTCTTTGAATGAACAGCCAGTAGCCATACCGACAACATTACCTCCTCAGCGATGTAAAAATGCTAAAGGACACTTTTCTGCTCGTCTCCAAGCTCGGTAGGTTTATTCTTTGAATGAACAGTCAGTAGCCATACCGACTACATTGCCTCCTCATTGATGTAACAATGCCCCCCTCCAAAACGTTTATTCTCCATTATGTTTCCTTCCATGTGATTTCAACGTACTCTTATAAGCAAAGCTTTTATCGCAAAGGGAGCACGGGAAAGGTTTTTGTCCGGCATGTGTCAACATGTGCGATTTTAAACCGTTCTTATAACAAAAGTTTTTACCGCAAAGCGAGCACGTGAAAAGTTTTTCTCCCGTGTGCGTCTGCATGTGAGAATTTAAAGTCTCCTTGTAGGTGAAACTTTCAGCGCAAACGGAGCACGTGAAGGGCTTTTCGCCCGTGTGTGTCCTCATGTGTCTCGTCACGCAGTGCTTATAAGAAAAACTTTCGCCGCAAACGGAGCACGCGAACGGTTTCTCCCCCGTGTGCGTCGCCATGTGCGCGACCAACGAGATCTTGTGAGCAAACTTTTCCCCGCAAACGGAGCAAGCGAAAGGCTTTTCCCCAGTGTGCGTTCTCATGTGTCGACTCAAATGGTCTTTGATGTAATAGATTTTGCCGCAAACCGAGCAAGTGAAAGGATTTTCTACCGTGTGCGTTACCTTGTGGACAATCAAAGAGACCTTTTGTGCAAACGTCTCGCCGCAAGCTGAACAACGAAACGTTTTTTCTCTCGTGTGCGTTCTCATGTGTCTGTTCCGATAGGCCTTGGCAAAGCTTTTGCCGCAAACGGAGCAGGTAAAGTGGTCTTCGGGCGTCTGACGCTTGGCGTCAGCCGTCTCCTCCTGGGAACCTTTTGAGCGTTTGTCGTGACCTTGGCCATCCGCGCTGCTCCTCAAAGGTTCTTGGCGGCGTGACAGTGGAAGCGCGAGCTTGTCTGCTGGTGAGTCTCCACGACGCTCTCCACTTGGACCGCGAAGGCCGAGCCGCGACCACTCGGACGGGTGCTCTTCGTCGTCCTCACTCTTCACCACGACGATGTTAAATGGCAGCTGGCTGACATCCACTTCCTCCTCTTCCTCTTTGACGTCAGGGGCCCGGGAACGCTCCCGTTCCAAACTGGAGCTCGCCGCCTGCGGCTGAGGTGGAACTTCCTCTCGGCGACCCATCAGTTGGTGGATGTCTGCAGGACACAAATCATGTCATTTTGGCCTCCAAAGAAATAAAAGCGTTAAATTGACCGCACGTTCCATTGAATTAGAAAGAGGAAATAGGTCTTGGGGTGTCTGCCGCTTGGCGTCATCCGTCTCCTCCTGGGAGCCTTTTGAGCGTTTGTCGTGACCTTGGCTATCCGCGCTGCTCCTCAAAGGTTCTTGGCGGTGTGACAGTGGAAGCGCGAGCTTGTCTGCTGGTGAGTCTCCACGACGCTCTCCACTTGGACCGCGAAGGCCGAGCCGCGACCACTCGGACGGGTGCTCTTCGTCGTCCTCACTCTTCACCACGACGATGTTAAATGGCAGCTGGCTGACATCCACTTCCTCCTCTTCCTCTTTGACGTCAGGGGCCCGGGAAGGCTCCCGTTCCAAACTGGAGCTCGCCGCCTGCGGCTGAGGTGGAACTTCCTCTCGGCGACCCATCAGTTGGTGGATGTCTGCAGGACACAAATCATGTCATTTTGGCCTCCAAAGAAATAAAAGCGTTAAATTGACCGCACGTTCCATTGAATTAGAAAGAGGAAATATAACAATATATTTCTTGGAGTGATCATTGATGCAAAGCTTTGTTGGAAACCACTTGGAATGAAAAATACGGATACTTGCACACATAAATTAATTATTTGCATCTTTTTCTTTTTTTTGAAGTGGGTCAACATTTGCTTCCAATATCTTCTGCTCGAAACAAGAAAGCGCTCCAAACGTTCAACTCGTGCTCCCATTTTTAATGTTTTTTAATTACATTTCTTTTAGGGGCTCTCGCATGATTTGGGGTTGGGGGCCGGTTTACTTTGAGGTTTGTTGTATTTATTTAGTTATCTTGTTGAATGTATCTTGCAATCCGTTTTTACAGGCTGTTCAAACATTGTCGGGGGGAAAAGGGTATCCTGGGTGTGGGGATGTTGAGAGTCAAAGATCTGCCTGATAAACATCACGAATGTTTGACCTCTTCAGCATTGACGATATTATGAGCGTCGCGCGTACCACTAGCTCATACACACGAGATTTTTTTCTGTAAAGAACATGAATGTGCATCCGCGAACAGACAGACCTTGAATGTGCAACACGATGGGCGCCAAGAAAATGTCGTCGTCATGCTGACGTTGCACGTTCTCCTCTCTCGCTCGACAAATTTGCTCCTCGTGCGACGCCATCGTTCTTTCGAGCAGTACAAATGTTCCAATTCCGAAGCTTTTGTTGATGCACACCCAAAACCCTCCTCGCTCTTTGTCTCTTGTAGATCCATGGAGCAACTTCCGCATTTTCTTCTTCGATGGTACGTTGGCGGCAGCGAAAGCGTCGACGACGTCACGTGGCGGCCATCTTGCGGCGGCACTGTGGCGGGGAGGTCCAAACCTCAACATTTATTGAAAAATTGGATGGTCGTCATTACATTTTCAGTTGTTGATTTTTCGTCCTATCGTGGAGATAATTTGGGGGGGGGGATAAACTTTATTAAACAACTTAGACATTTGACAGTAAATTTCACATTAAAAAAACAAGTTTATGAAGAGACTCCTTTCCTTGTCCAGAAATACTGTAAAACTTTTGGTACTCTGCAGGCTTCAATCTGCACTGTTAGCCTGGAAATAAATTGGATAGCTTCGAAATAAAATTGCTTTTCATTTACGGTTTATAGCATTTTAGTCATACTGTATATGTACAATCGAGTACGTTCTTATTCACACACTCCAGAAGTTGATGCAGTGAAAAAAGATTTTTTAAAGCCTGCTGAAGAAAATACAAAACAGAAAAAAAATGCATTCAGTCCAGCATGGTTCCATAAATATTAATTAATTGCATGAAAGGTTTCCTGGTATCGTTCCTCAAGTGTCAAAGCTTGGCTAATCGTTATGTCGAGTTACTCTTAAGAGAACACATTCAAGTTGGATCCCAAAGCACCACTGTATATGCCCTTTGACGTCAGCAACGAGGAAGGAACACAAAATGTTGACAATTGAACAATTTATTCTTCTAGGCAACGGTCAGCGGTGCGTGGAAGAAACTCCTCGACCAGCTTGCATCCCAAGTCAGCCAAAGAAAAGTTCACGGGAAGGACACAAAACACAAAAGGATACATTCTCATAATTTGGTGAACTGTCTCATATGTCTTTCATCTTCTAACGGGAACGTTTGTTCTTGCAGGTTATAATGGGGATTCATACCCAGAGTCTCATAAGTGGGACGCAGACGTGCTAACCACTTGGTCACCACGCCGGTGCGTACTCATGTGTGCCGTCAAATTGTGCTTATGAGAAAAGCTTTTCCCACAAACCGAGCAAGTAAAGGGTCTTTCTCCCGTGTGCGTACTCATGTGTGCCAACAGTGTCGACTTTTGTGTGAATGTTTTGCCGCACATGGAACAGGCGAAGGGTTTTTCTCCCGTGTGCGTTCTTACGTGTGCCACCAGCGTTGCCTTTTGAGTGAATCTTTCGTCGCAAACTGAGCAACAAAAGGGTTTTTCCCCCGTATGTCTTCTCTTGTGTGTCAGCATGTTTTCCTTCCGGGTGAAGCTTTCGCCACAAATTGGGCAACTGAACGATTTTTCTCCTGTGTGCCTCTGCATGTGTGCATTCAAAGTCTGCTTATAGGAAAACCTTTTGCCGCAAGCTAAGCAATGGAAAGGTTTCTCCCCTGTGTGTGTTGCTGTGTGCGCAATCAACGAGACCTTGCGGGTAAATGCGTCACCGCAAACTGGGCAACCAAAGGGTTTTTCTCCCGTGTGCTTTCTCATGTGTGTCCTCATGTTGGACTTGCGTGCAAATCGTTCGTCACAAAATGAGCAGCGAAAACATTTTTTAGCCCTGTCAGCTGTCTCCTTCTCAGGGATTTCAAAGTGTCTGTCGTCACCATTGCGATTTGCATCGCTCCGCAAAGGTTCTTCCGTGTCTTGGCTGCGCGTCGTCGGGAGAGAGGGGTTTGGCGGTGGCGGTCCCTCACTTGGATTGTGATGATGAAGCCGTGATGACTCGTTGGGTTTGTCTTCATCGCCTTCACTCTTCACGACGACGACGTTCAGGGGCAACTCCCTGACAACCAGCTCCTCCTCTTCCTCTTTAACGTTGGGGTGCCCTGGCACACGCACACAGTTTAGGTCAGAAATCATGTCACAAGAGACTGCAGCTATCGAATACTTACAATCAATTATTTATCAGTTAATGGCTAAAATTGTTTTAATTTTAGCCAAAGAACTGTTTATTCACCGGTTAATGTTGTCTATTTAATATTGACTAATGCTTTTTTTTGAATGTTTCAAAAATTATCTTCCAAAGAACAGAAAACACAAAATTGCAAACATACAAAGAGAGGAAGCGTTATTGATAAAGCACATTTTGATTGAGCCACTGATGAGTCGTAACTCAGAATCTGTTACTCAAACAGCCGAGCTAAAACAGAGAAAGAAATTAGAAAGTAGTCAGAGGAAAGGTTTCCGTGTCAGCAGACCTTGGTGGGGGTTTGTGGCAATCTGAGAGTTGCAAGCAACTTCCAATTGCCGTCGGTGTCGCTCGGTCTCCTCTTTAGCGCGACAAAGTTGCTCCTCGTACGACGCAATGGTTCTTTCAAACAGGCCGAAGATTTCGTCGGCGGCCGCAATAAGTCGTTCCCTTACCAACTCTTTCAACATTTTTCTTCTTTTTATCCCCCAGCCTGATTTAGCTGTGTAGCACTGTTGGCGGTTTCCCAAAACTCACACAAACAAGTCTGGGAACAACAAATCACACGGCGCATGCGTGCAAAAGGCTACCGGAAAACCACAAAAGAACCACGAAGAAGAAAAGGGCGGAAGTTGGCCGGGCGAGAGACAAAGTGCGACGTCGAAATTTTGGACGTGTGGTCGCCAAAATAAAACACACAACAGTTGAAAAGGGAGCAACTAACTGGAATCTTGCAATATTATCATCAAGAAAAATGGCGACGGACCAGGATCAAATTTGTCCAGAAAGGGAGGAGAACGAGCGACGACATCTGGATGCTCTTCACGGACTACGTGAGAAGAATCAAAGCGAGTAAACTATAATGCATGTATAATGTGTCTACGATATCATACGATCGCTTTTCTCTTATCGTTCGTGTGATGAACGAACAAAATAAACCAATGGCAGCCATCTTGATTTTGCAATCGGCCAATCGGTTAACGACGTGGACGTCACATGGCGTCTCTCTCTCTCTCTCTCTCTCTCTCTCTCTCTCTCTCTCTCTCTCTCTCTCTCCCCCCCTCTTACTCTCATCTTTCGTTGCCCTTCGCGCACAGGGAATGTGTTAAATGCTAAATTAAATATTAAATTGACAGTCTCGATGCATATAGTTTACGTTGGACTTTTGTACATACATACATACATACATACATACATACATACATACATACATACATACATACATATTTAACGCTTAGTCAAAGTCCACGGGCAGCCAGAATAACTTCACATTGCCATCCTTGAGTCTAAACTTTAGGGAAAGCCAGCATAATATTGTCTATAATATTCAACTTGTTTGGGTTGCTTTGTCTCCTGCAGACATGCAGCAAACAACTGTCCGCCAAGAGGAAGACTCACCTAAACTACGCAGATGGAGCTCCTGTATGGAACCCCAAATGAAAGAGGAAGATGAGGAGCCACAGTCCCCTGATGTCAAAGAGGAAGAGGAGGAGTTTGATATCGGCCAGTTACCACTGACCGTTGTCATTGTGAAAAGTGAAGACGACGAAGACGAAGAACTTCCTCACGGCAGTCCAAGTGGAGGACCACCAGCAGGAAACAACCTCTTAGCTCCACTGTCTCACAGGCAAAACACCGAAGGATCTTTGAGAAGCGACATCGCTTGTGAAGGTGACAACAAGCACCTGAAATGCTCTCAAGCGGATAAAACGCTTGACAAGAAAACTTCTCAAACATGCAAGAGACGTCACAGACGTAAAGAAAAATTTTACTGCTCACTTTGTAGTAAAACATTTCCTTATGAGAGTACTTGGAATGAACACATGCAGACGCACACAGGAGAAAAACCCTTTTGCTGCTCGGTCTGCGGGGAAAGTTTTGCTCGCAAAGGTAATATGAACGTACACATGAGAAGACACACGGGTGAAAATCCTTTCAGCTGCACAGCGTGTGGTGATACCTTCGCCCGCAAGGTCAATCTGATTGCGCATACAGCAACACACACAGGGGAAAAACCTTTCACTTGCTCCGTGTGTGGTGAAAGGTTTTCTTATGAGTACAATGTGAATGCACACATGAAAACACACACGGGAGAAAAACCATTTGTTTGCTCGGCGTGTGGTAAAAGGTTCCTTAAAAAGTCGGTTATGGTTAAGCACATGAGAACGCACACAGGGGAAAAACCCTTCAGTTGTTCAGTTTGCAGCGAAAGCTTTTCTCATAAGCACAGTTTGAATGTTCACATGAGAACACACACGGGAGAAAAACTCTTTAGTTGCTCAGTGTGCGGTAAGAGATTCACTCACAAGCAAAACATGATCCAACACATGAGAACACACACGGGAGAAAAACCTTTCACTTGCTCAGTTTGTGCTGAAAGTTTTTCATATAAGCATGGTTTGAAATCACACATGCAAAACCACACGGGAGAAAAACCCTTCAGTTGCTCTGCTTGTGGTAAGAGTTTTTCAAATAAGTATGATTTGAATATACACATGAGAACGCACACAGGCGAGAAACCTTTTTGTTGCTCAGTTTGTTGCAAAAAATTCACGGTAAAGCAAAACATGATCCGACACATGAGAACACACTCGGGAGAAAAACCTTTTGCATGCTCACTTTGCGATAAAAGCTTTTCCAGTAAGTCTGACATGAATAGACATGAGAATACACACAAAAGAAAAGCCTTTTAGTCACACAGTTTACGTTAAAAGCTGTTTCAACTGCACACATGCGGAAACATGGCAGACAATACATGTCAATGTATTCCTGCCCAATTGCACTAAAATGGTGGTGGAGGGGAATTTGTTTGTTTGTTTTTTTCCTCTCAGCAGCCTTTTAAGTTTTAATAGCCACTTGAAGACCACATTTAGGCTGAAAATGTGATAATTATTGAACATTTGTTTCGTGCTCTAACAAGTTGTGCGTTCAGTGTTTTGACCTTTGAGTGGCAAGTTCTGTGAGGTTGTTTGTTTGATTGTAGGGCGTGGGAGAAGGCTTACAGAAGTTCCAACACTCGAATGTTGTGTTTTCGCTGCCCTTGTCCTTTGCAATAAAAAACGAAAGCCATTCTGACCTCTGGAGTCTCTTCTTCCACGGCTCAAATTTTGGCGCAGTCTTCAATGTGCCCGCAAGATGGCGATCGGTATCTCGCGAGTAAAATGAGGGCATGATCGAAGAAGAAAACGGCGGAAGTTGAGGCTTTCCAAGACGATGAGAGGGGATAAAGAGCCTGTTCGTTTTCTCGTAACCGCTCAACGAATCAAACTGTTCCCTAAAAAATAAGACGTGTCGGTTTGAGAGAACGATGACGTCGTCCGAGGAGCAAGTTAGTCACGCGGCAGGGAACAAACGACGACAGCAGGACGCTATTCTCTTCGCTCCCAGCGGGTCCCACGCTGAAGGTTTGAACACGTCGCAAAGCTTTTATGTTTTGCTCTGCACCAAGAAAGTAAAGGGATTCTCACCAAATATTAATAGTATCATACTTACACAAGAGTAACAAGTAGTATTGGTTTGCCTAAGTAGTCAATTGATTTTGGGGGGGGGGGCGGTGCAGCAGTAGCCGATTAGTTTTGTTCATTTTCAGACTTTTATATTTTTTCTTTGCGGAAAGATGACCCATGCTGGGTGACGTGAGCACCGCAGCCCGGCGGCGGTTGACTCGCACATTTGCAACATAAGACGTTTTAATGAGTCAAAACTGAAAATGGATCATTTACACACAGTCAGTGTTTGGCCTGTAGTTTCAAACACTGTCGTGCAACTTTACATCACTTGCGTGATCGAGGGTCACATTTAAGAATGGCCAGATTAGGTGTGCTGTATTTCTTCAATGCATTAATGATAAGATTATGTGAGTTAAGATGTGTTTGTGTGTGTGTCATGACTTGCAGAAGTCCAGCGGCTGATTGTGGGGGGCTTCACTTCGGTGCAGGAGCTGCATGCCTTTGTTAAGGAGGAAGAGGGCGATCTTCAGCACGCCTACATCAAAGAGGAAGAAGAAGATGTCAACGTTAGTGGGTCGCCGCTGACTGTCGTCGTCGTAAAGGGCCAAGACGACGAAGACAAAGAAGCGATCGACCGCCACACTCCGAGCGGAGACAACGGCGGCGGACCGTACATCGCAGCTCCGCTCTCACAAAGCGATGACACGGAAGACACCAGCGAGTCAGAGCAAGAAAGTGATACACACTTGAAACGCTCACAAAAGGAGACGGGTCCAGACAACGGGAATTCTTCTCAATCGCGCATGAGGCGTGGAACGCGGAACCACCGTTTCAACTGCTCGGTTTGCAGCAAAAGGTTTCCTTACGAGAGCAGTTTGAATGAACACATGCAGATGCACACGGGAGAAAAACCCTTTAGTTGCTCAGTTTGCGGTAAAAGTTTTTCAAGGAAAGGAAATATGAATGTTCACATGAGAAGCCACACAGGAGAAAAACCTTTCAGTTGCTCAACATGCGGCGATGAATTTGCTCAGAAGGCCTCTTTGGTGGCGCACGTGACGACGCACAGGGGAGAAAAACCATTCACTTGCTCCCTTTGTGGCAAAAGCCTGTCTTACAAGCATGGGTTGAAATCTCACATGCTGACGCACATGGGAGAAAAACCCTTTCGATGCGCCGTGTGCGGCGACGGCTTCTCTTACAAGCAGAGTTTGAATTTACACATGAGAAGACACACGGGAGAAAACACTTTCACGTGCTCAGTTTGTGCGAAATGTTTTCATGATGAGCACAGTTTGAAAGTACACACACAGACGCACACGGGGGAAAAGGCCTTCATCTGTTCCATTTGTGGCGAAGGTTTTTCTCGAAAAGGAAACATGAACGTACATATGAGAAGGCACACGGGAGAAAAACCTTTCACTTGCCCAGTTTGTGGCGATAAATTTGCTCAGAAGGTCTCTTTAGTTGCGCACGCAGCGACGCACACGGGACAAAAACCTTTCACCTGCCCAGTTTGTGCAAAGAGCTTTTCTTATAAGCACGGTCTGAAATTACACATGCAGACACACACGGGGGAAAAAACATTTCAGTGCTCAGTTTGTGGTGACAGTTTTTCTTATAAGCACAGTTTGAACATACACATGAGAAGACACACAGGAGAGAAACCTTTCCCTTGCTCCGTTTGCGGGAAAAGCTTTTCGCATAAGCACGGCTTGAGAGCACACATGTGGACCCACACGGGAGAAAGGCCTTTTGGTTGCTCAATATGTGGTAAAAGCTTTCATAACAACTATGACTTGAATCTACACGAGAGAACGCACACGGAAGAAAAACCTTTCGGTTGTTCTGTTTGTGGCAAAAAGTTTGCCACCAAGCAAAACATGATTCGACACGTGAGAAGGCACTCGGGAGAAAAACCTTTCGCTTGCTCACTTTGTCACAAAAGCTTTTGCAGTAAGTCCGATTTGAAAAGACACGAGAACACACACGTGAGAAAAAGCATTATAGTTGCTCAAGTTGTGACAAAATAACACGCAGGGAAGATGATGAAGCTACTCTGCAATTCCAATTGGAATGTGCACCTGCAGAAACACAACAGAGCGAATGGTGGGCAGGATTTGCCGGAAACCATCTCATCTAGGCCTTGGTGGAAGGTGGAAACCTTGGAAACGTGCCAAGTGCAAGCGCTCACTGCGTAGGCTGAGTGACGGCCACAAGAAAAGTGTCTCCACTGCTACGCAAAGCAACCTGTTAAACTCCCATGGATAACAAGGTGCCAAGTGCCTTGTTAGCTCTCTGAGCAAAATCCCTGATTTGTCTTTGTGGGTGGTTCACGGGCAGAGAGGTGGATCTCTCTCAAAGTGCTTCTTCTGGCTTTGTTTCTTCTCTCGCTAACGAAAAAAAAAAGAATGCTTGTCGAAACCAGATGCTTCATTTCTTCATTTCACAAGGACAAACAAGTTGCCACAATGTGTGCAGCCTTCATATTCATTCCAAGAAAATGGAGACATCATTCACTATTTTACGAATGTAATCTGCTCCAGTGTTTTGTAAATAAAGTTTCTTTTGAAAAGACTAAGGTCAGCTGACGCTTCGCAATGTTTAAGATTAATTTAATTATGGCTATTCAGCCACCGGGTTCAAAAGTTAAAGTTACACATTTATGAGCCAAACAGTATTGGCCATTAAATTAGCAGCCAGACATTAAAAAGACAGAAAGAAAAATATTGATCAGTACTCTTTTGCTGGGCATAATATTTGCTCATAACGAATGTTATTTCCAGATTTTTAAGGTGTGTGTGTATTAACCACTGAAATTTCTTTCTCATTAAAAAAAGTATCCCCATCACATTACTCAAGTCTTCCATGAGATGTGACAGAGGGGAAAACACTTGGTTGCTCGGCGACATCCCCAAGCAGCAAATGAATGAAGCGTCGCCATCACACGCTCCGCATCGACACATTCAAGATGGCGATAACGTGAACGTACTATTTGGTTGCCAACACGCGCTCCAGCTGAAACTCGCTTTCTATTACTCAGCTGCCGCCGTGGAAGTAGAAAAGGCGGAAGTTGGTCAAATGGCCGCCGGGAGACGAACGAGCGCGAGCTTGTCGTCGTCGTGGTGTGCTTGCGGCCGCGAAATTAAACAAAATGTTTTCATAAAATAATAAACGAGAGCCATGACGTCGTACGAGGAGCAACTTTGCCAAGTGAACGAGCGCCAACAGCAACTCGACGCCGCTTTCAAGGCACCGATCGCGTTGGGCGTTCAAGGTCTGTCCACATGTTCAGTACTTTTCTGCTTTTAAACACCGATTTCTCCGAAACGTTACGTAGTTAATGTGCGTGTCGTGCTTTTAATCCCCCTTTATTTTGGAAGCCTCATGTATCTCTGTTGCCTCTCCAGCCTTGCGAGGAGGGGAGGAGGAAGGGGCGGATTCACTGAGTCCACACGTTAAAGAAGAAGACGAGGAGGAGCCACAGTCCCCACGCGTTAAAGAGGAAGAGGAGGATGCCGACCCTCCTCACGTTAAGATGGAAGGAGAGGATCCGGAGTCCCCCAATGTCAAGGAGGAAGAGGAGGAGGTTGATGTCGGCGAGTTGCCGCTGACTGTGCTCGTTGTGAAAAGCGAAGACGACGAAGACGAATCACCCGAGTCGTCATATCAACGTCCTCAACGCAGTCCGAGCGGAGGAGCAACACCGGACGAGCTTTTGGCGCCGCTGTCGGACAGCGACGACGAGGAAGCTGACGGCAAGCGGTCGGAAAGCTCTGAAAAGGCGACAAGTGAGCACGCGGCTCAAAAACCGTTCGGGTGCTCGGTTTGCGCTAAAGTCTTTTCCTACAAGTGGAACTTGAACGCACACATGAGAACACACACCGGAGACAAACCCTTCAGTTGTCCGGTTTGTGGCAAAGGTTTTCCTCGACGGGGAAATATGGTGAGACACACGAGAACGCACGCGAGTGCAAAACCTGCCCCCGACGCCGCCGGCGATTCGCCGGAGGTCTTGTTGATTGCGCGCGAGGCGACGCAAAAGCCTTTGGCTTGCTCCGTTTGCGGCGAGTGGTACTCTCAGAAGCGCAGCTTGAAAATACACATGCGCACGCACAGCGGCGAAAAGCGCTTCAGCTGCTCACTCTGCGGCGAGTGGTACTCTCACAAGAGCAGCTTGAAGGCGCACATGTGGACGCACACCGGCGAGAAACGCTTCGCCTGCTCCGTGTGCGGCCAATCTTTTACATACAAGCACAATTTGACGGCGCACATGGCGACGCACACGGGACAAGCGTTCGCGTGCTCCGTTTGCGGCAAACGTTTTACCTGTAAGCAAAACATGAACATACACATGAGAACGCACACGGGAGAAAAACCCTTCGCCTGCTCCGTTTGCCACAAAAACTTTTCCTACAAGTCGGCCATGACCCAGCACATGAGAACGCACACGGGAGAAAAACCCTACAGCTGCTCCATTTGCGGCGACGAATTTGCTCAGAAGGTCACTTTGGTCGCACACGTGGCGACGCACACGGGAGAAAAACCGTTCACTTGCTCAGTTTGCGGCAAAAGCCTCTCTTATAAGCACGGCTTGAAATCCCACATGCAGATACACACGGGAGAAAAAAGGCTTCGCTGCTCGGTGTGCGGCGACAGTTTTTCTTCCAAGTCCAGCTTAAATATACACATGAGGAGACACACGGGAGAGAAACCTTTCACATGCTCCGTTTGTCAGAGAAGCTTCTCTCATAAGAACACGTTGACAACGCACATGCGGACGCACAAGAAAGATTGAACATTTTCATTTCCTATTGGGGGCTAGGGGGGCGTTTCAGTTCTTCCAAAAGGGGCTTTGGGAAATTTAAGGGAAAGCAGGGTTGAACGTTTTGAACAAATTGACATGTGCTGTTTTCTGCGATGATGTGGCCACACGAGTAGTGACCGTTTGCGACAAGAATAAAGAGTCAAATTTCCAACCTGTCTTGTTTCTCCCTTGTCGTTGAAAGGCTTTAATAATTTGTTGCGCAAAAACAAGCGCAAGTCGACCCCTCGCGAGCAGGAGATGATGACTCTTGGCACTGTTTGAAAGAACCAAAGCGGAGAGGAGACTGACGGACGGCGACGACAACCGGAGTGGAAACTGTTTCAAAGTCTCGAACAGCTGTCGTCAAAATATGCTCAATCCAAAATCCGAGTCCACACAAGCAAATCACAACCCCAGCAACGCCAAAACTTCATCTGAGATTGACACCAGTGGCAATGCGTGTGCGGAAGTTGGCAAGATGTGTGCGATCGTTCAGAGTGAGTTTGTGGGCTACAAAAAAAAAGCCTCCTACCGTGCCAGGGGAGGAGGAGTGGCATCCCTGAGAAGTTTTCGTCTGGGGGGGCGGAGTGCTGCTTCCTCGAGCTGGCCAATCGCCATCAAGTTGAAAAGCAGGTCTGACGGAGTGGCATCCCTGAGAAGTTTTCGTCTGGGGGGGGCCGGAGTGCTGCTTCCTCGAGCTGACCAATCGCCATCAAGTTGAAAAGCAGGTCTGAGGAAGAGTAGCACACATCTCAATTCGCATCTCGAATGGTACGCTCATTTCAGCGTGGGCATCGTTTTAGACACAGCGCTGTTTGTCCTTGAATTCATTTCCAAAGGTCATTTTACAGCAAAATAAACGCTTCATTGTTCTCTATTAACCCTGGAGAACCCACGGGGTCAAATTTGGCCCCTATAAATTCTGCTACTGAAATGCTACCCTTAAATCCCAAAGGGTCAGATTTGGCCCTAATCCTAAATTAGGATTAAAGCATTGAATATTTGAAAAAAAAACATATATGTTGGTGTTCAGTGAACCTATAGCAGTCATTTAATGTATAATTCATCATTTGCCAAAGAAGAAAAAGGTTCTTGGGTTCTCCAGGGTTAAGCTGACGTGGTAAATAACATTAGTTTAGCAAGATGTTCCAAACTCAATCCACATCATTTGAGGTTCAGTAAAAACGTTCCGCAGCATGAATGCAACGCACCTCATTTCAAGGCACTGCGATCTCAGTCACGTTGCACTTGGCGTCGTCGTTTCCAAACGGCAGCTCAATCGGAACCAGCTGCTTTCGCACGAACACGCACACAAACGTTTCCCCTCACAGCGACGACGTGAATGACGTCACGGCGCACGCGTCGGGCTCCTTCCTCCAAGTCCGCACGGCGAGCATGTTTGAAAGGTCGATGGGAATTCAACAAGTGGAAAAGACAATCGCGGTCATCAAGTGATGCAAAACTCGAAGCCGAACTACTTCCGTGTCAAGTGTGCACCGATTGGTCGCGTCACCACGTGACGCCACAAGGTGATTGGACAACTGGCCCACCTGACCGAAACACTTCCCGAAAGAAATGAAGAAAGGCAGAAAACTAAATCAAAACAGAATGAAGTTCTACTTTCGTCCGTAGACGTTTTTTTTTAATCCCCACAGATATTGGGAATCATTCAGCATTTTTTTTTTTTTTTGCCAAAGTAAGAAGAGCCTCTTTTTGGTCGGCGCTGGCAGTGGTGTCGTTCACAATCGTGTTGCGTTTTTTTTCTCCATTTGTTGCGACCGTCGTTTGCCAGAGTCCTGAAGCTCAACGACTGGCTTTGCAGCCCTTTTTCAGACTGAGAAATGTCGATTTCCTTTTTTCTCACTCGTTGTTGAATTTCTTTGGATGGTGGCAACTTGTTTGCAGCTTTTTCATTTCTTCATTTTTGTCCACAAAGACTAAAATAAACAAACCCGCCATAGAAAATTGAGCATTTTTATGTTGAATACACAGTAGGAATGTTTACTTAAACTGATGGCAGTATTTAGCTCAAATTTGGGTGCATGCTTGGGGTGCAGATAGTCACCCCCACCTCTCCACTTAATATTGTAGAGAAAAAAAAATCCACAAAAGTTTAGAACTCTGGTTCCTGCCAAGAATGTGAGCGGGCACAAACACAAAATTTGACTTTAGTTGTTTATCGAACTGGCATCTTAGGATCATACAAGAATGTTCAGTGAAGAAATTGAAAACGAAATGCCCAAAAAAATGATCTGGAATGGAGGCAATGTGAACAAAAGGTTTATAATTAGATTTATGCGGTCCATTCACTGCATCGCTGTTTTTAAAATTTTTTGGGGGTGTGTTTCGCCACAAAAGTTTAGAACTCTGGTTCCTGCCAAGAATGTGAGCGGGCACAAACACAAAATTTGACTTTAGTTGTTCATTGAACTGGCATCTTAGGATCATACAAGAATCTTCAGTGAAGAAATTGAAAACGAAATGCCCAAAAATATGATCTGGAATGGAGGCAATGTGAACAAAAGGTTTGTAATTAGATTGATGCGGTCCATTCACTGCATCGCTGTTTTGAAAAAAATGTTTTGGTGTGTTTTGTAACAAGCAAGGGGAATAGAAGAAGACTTCTACTAACACTAAAGTGGTTTCTTTGCTTGTTCAAGTACCGATTTGACTCCTTTACTCCAGTAAAAGTAATAGAGTACAGACATAAAAAAAAAATTGATATTACAGGTATGAAATGCCAGTTGCGTATTGTTCCCCGCCATCATAAAAAAACAAACAAAAAAACAGAAACTGTCGAGGAATGTAAAAACGTTCATTCCTTGCTGTGCGTCTGCATGTGCGCGCTAAAGTGGTTTCTTTGCTTGTTCAAGTACCGATTTGACTCCTTTACTCCAGTAAAAGTAATAGAGTACAGACATAAAATGACATAATAACATTTTGGATAATTTGGCACAACATAAAAATAAAAAGAATAATTGCCTTCTTCTGTCACATGAAAAATTCCTTTATTTTTGTTTTTTCACCCACAGCTAGCTAGCGCTGGCTAAACTTAAATGAAAGGCTGCAACGATTGTTGATTTTCCAAATAAATTCATTTGTCCACTGCTTTCACGGAGGTCGACTGAAATGAAAATATTTACCGCTGAGAGGCAGACATCCTCCTGATTTGAACAATTTTGTGGTTAACGAGGTCTCTGAACGATTAAAGGATCATCAATATAAGCATTGGTTCATTTGATAATCAATTAGCTGCAGGGTAATTCGACATCAATGCTATCGAAACCCGTTGCTCCAGCTTTGCTATCCAAGTCAACCAATTCATAAAAATAAAAAATAAAAAATTTAAAAAATGAATTAGCAAATGATATCAACTGGGGGGGGAAACTCATGTAAAGATGTGTCTTTTTTTCATAGCAGACTGAGATTTTTTTTTTAAGATGACCACAAAACATTGATGTGGCCGACGGCAACATTTCCCTTAACTAAGGCTTCGACATTTCATATTGGCATTTAGTTAAAGTTGGCTCAAATGAGTGAGCAACACAACAACCCCGAAAAAAAAGGAACGCACGAAATAAGACAATTTTGTGGGTTTCATTTTTTTTCATTCGTTTGAGCCAACTTTTGGGCTTCTAAAAAAAATAAAAAACTAAGATTTGGGTCAGTCCCAATTTGACCCAAGATGGGAGCAAACAGTTTTTACAGTGCTGATTTGCTGATATAGCTGATTAAGTAAAAGATAAACGGTAGTCTGAGAAAGAAATACTCAAGGGAAGTACCGTTATCTGAATAATCGACGCACTAAGTAAGAGAGTATTTGAACTTTGTTAATTTCCACCACAGGTAACAAAGATAAGAGCGTTTGAACCAACTCATTCATTTAAAATAACAGAAAAAAAATTGATATTACTGGTATGAAATGCCAGTTGCGTAACTGTTCCCCTCCCTCATAAAAAAACAAACAAAAAAAACAGAAACGGTCGAGGAATGTAATAACTTCATTCCTTGCTGTGAGTCTGCATGTGCGCATTCAAGTTTTGCTTGAAGGCAAATTTTTTCCCGCAATCTGTGCAGCTGAAGGGTTTTTCCCCTGTGTGCGTTCTCATGTGCACGTTCAGATTCCTCTTGCTGGTGAATCGTTTGGCGCAGACAGAACAAGTGAAGGGTTTCTCTTCCGTGTGGCCCCGCATGTGCGCAGTCAAGCTGTGCTTGGACGTCACACTTTTACCGCAGACAGAGCAAATGAAGGGTTTCTCCCCGGTGTGCTTCCGCATGTGTCTGACCATGTATTGTTTTTGGGTGAAGCTTTCGCCGCACTCCGAGCAGCGAAAGGGTTTTTCTCCCGTGTGCGTCCACGTGTGCACGTTCAAATGCTGCTTGGAGGCAAAACTTTTCCCGCAAACTGAGCACGTGCAGCGCTTTTCTCCTGTGTGCCTTCTCTTGTGTTTGAGCATGTATTGCTTCTGAGTGAAGCGTTCGCCACAAACGGAGCAGGTGAAAGGTTTTTCACCTGTGTGCGCTGCCGCGTGCGCCCTCAGAGAGGCCTCCTGAGCGAACTGCTGCCCGCAAACGGAGCAGCCAAAGCGTTTTTCTGCGTGCGTCTGCATGTGCTCATTCAAACTGTGCTTGTAAGAAAGGCTTTTGCCACAAACCGGGCAAGTGAAAGGTTTTTCTCCTGTATGCGTCCTCACGTGTGCGTTAAAAGTCGGCCGATAGGTAAAACTATCGCCGCAGACTGAGCAACTGAAGGGTTTTTCTCCCGTGTGCCTTTTCATGTGCGCGTTTAAGGTCTGCTTGTAGGTAAAACTGTCGCCACACACGGAGCAGGTGAAAGGTTTCTCTCCCGTGTGTTTCCGCATGTGCGCTTTCAAACTTCTTTTGTAAGAAAAACTTTCACGGCAAACCGAGCAGCTCACCAGACTTTCCCCCGTGTGTGTCCGCATGTGGATGTTCAAACTGCGCTTGTACGAATAGCTTTCGCCGCAAACGGGGCAGGTGAAAGGTTTCTCTCCGGTGTGCGTGGCCGTGTGCGCAATCAAAAAGATCTTTTTGGCAAAGGTTTCGCTGCACACGGAGCAGCTGTAAGGTTTTTCTCCCGTGTGCGTCCTCATGTGGACCGTCAGATTCTTTTTCTTCGCGAATCTTTTCCCACAAACTGAGCAAGCGAAACGTTTCTCTTCCGTGTGTGTCGCCATGTGCACGATCAACGAGCCCTTTTGTGCAAACGTGTCGCCGCAAACTGAACAATGAAAAGTTGGCTTCTCGCCCGTGTGTGCTCTCATGTGTCTCACCATATTCGACTTGCAAGCAAACATTTTACTACAAACGGTACAGCTGAAGGGCTTTTCTCCCGTGTGCGTTCTCATGTGCTCCTTCACGCTGTACTTGCAAGAGAGGCTTTTACCGCAAAGTGAGCAGGTCAAATGTTCTTTCGCAGCGCTTGCCAAAGGTCTGTCGTCCTCTCCGGCGTCTGCGGCGCTCCTTGAGGGTTTCTCCAAGTCACCGCCGCGTGAAGGCGCAGGTAAGCGCTGGTCTGCGGGCTGTGCCCCGCGGCGCTCTCCGCTGAGACTGCGGCGATGAAGCTGCGACCATTCGGCTGCGTCGCCTTCGTCGTCTTCGCTCTTCACGACGACGACGTTGAGTGAGAACTCGCTGACGTCGACCTCCTCTTCTTCCTCTTTAACGCAGGGCTGCTGCGGATCTTGGTCTTCCTCTTTAATACGACGGGGCTCCGGATTTTCTTCCCGATGACCGATCGGCTGCTGGATGTCTACAAGATGCAAGCAAAACAAAAAAATTGAGCACACGTGTCAAACTTTACGAGCGGTGGCTGACCTCAAGGCATAGTATTTGGTCTGACAGGAGCTGCTGATTGATGTGAGCTCTCTATCGTATCAGTTTTTGTGACTTACATCGCTGTCAAAAGGCATTTGCCCTCTTCTGGAAAAAAAAAACTGGGCCCTGTGAAAGCGCCCCCCCCCCCCACCTTCAAACCTGAATAAACTATGGCTCATCACATTTTATTATTTATCTCACAATGGAGACATTCGCAATTTACAGCAACAAAATTTGGAGGGAAGAAAGTAGAAAAACATTATTTGCATGCACAAAATAATTTTGAGGGTAAACTGAGGTTCATTTTGACTGAGCAAGCCCAAGTCCAATTCGCTCCACAACTGTTCAGTAAACGAGTCAATTCAGCCCTATATTAAATGTGAATAAACTCTTATACAGCGTAGATACGGCTTCCTCCATAACTGTTATAACATGTATAGTGTGCAGAATTGTGTAGTATATTGCCCCTTTTTAGTCATTGGCAATTTTACTCATCCTAATCAAAACAATGATACTTGTGTTTCGACTTGGAATAAAGCAATCGATGATCTCTTCAAGGGGCCAAACCTCGACTGTGCAGTGAGGCACCGGAGGCAGGGAAAATGGCGGCCACTTGTCGTGCTTCTCCATCCTTCTCCTCTTTCGCTTGACAAAGTTGCTCCTCGTGCGACTCCATCGCTTGCAAGTAGTCCGACTATTTATTTTGTAACTATTTCAACAATTGCACGTTTTATTTGAGCGAGCTGCACAAGAACAAAAGCTGGGCGTCGCTGCTTTGTCGCTTTCGCCGCACTCCGAGCAGCGAAAGGGTTTTTCTCCCGTGTGCGTCCACGTGTGCACGTTCAAATGCTGCTTGGAGGCAAAACTTTTCCCGCAAACTGAGCACGTGCAGCGCTTTTCTCCTGTGTGCCTTCTCTTGTGTTTGAGCATGTATTGCTTCTGAGTGAAGCGTTCGCCACAAACGGAGCAGGTGAAAGGTTTTTCACCTGTGTGCGCTGCCGCGTGCGCCCTCAGAGAGGCCTCCTGAGCGAACTGCTGCCCGCAAACGGAGCAGCCAAAGCGTTTTTCTGCGTGCGTCTGCATGTGCTCATTCAAACTGTGCTTGTAAGAAAGGCTTTTGCCACAAACCGGGCAAGTGAAAGGTTTTTCTCCTGTATGCGTCCTCACGTGTGCGTTAAAAGTCGGCCGATAGGTAAAACTATCGCCGCAGACTGAGCAACTGAAGGGTTTTTCTCCCGTGTGCCTTTTCATGTGCGCGTTTAAGGTCTGCTTGTAGGTAAAACTGTCGCCACACACGGAGCAGGTGAAAGGTTTCTCTCCCGTGTGTTTCCGCATGTGCGCTTTCAAACTTCTTTTGTAAGAAAAACTTTCACGGCAAACCGAGCAGCTCACCAGACTTTCCCCCGTGTGTGTCCGCATGTGGATGTTCAAACTGCGCTTGTACGAATAGCTTTCGCCGCAAACGGGGCAGGTGAAAGGTTTCTCTCCCGTGTGCGTGGCCGTGTGTGCAATCAAAAAGATCTTTTTGGCAAAGGTTTCGCTGCACACGGAGCAGCTGTAAGGTTTTTCTCCCGTGTGCGTCCTCATGTGGACCGTCAGATTCTTTTTCTTCGCGAATCTTTTCCCACAAACTGAGCAAGCGAAACGTTTCTCTTCCGTGTGCGTCGCCATGTGCACGATCAACGAACCCTTTTGTGCAAACGTGTCGCCGCAAACTGAGCAATGAAAAGTTGGCTTCTCGCCCGTGTGTGCTCTCATGTGTCTCACCATATTCGACTTGCAAGCAAACATTTTACTACAAACGGTACAGCTGAAGGGCTTTTCTCCGGTGTGCGTTCTCATGTGCTCCTTCACGCTGTACTTGCAAGAGAGGCTTTTACCGCAAAGTGAGCAGGTCAAATGTTCTTTCGCGGCGCTTGCCAAAGGTCTGTCGTCCTCTCCGGCGTCTGCGGCGCTCCTTGAGGGTTTCTCCAAGTCGCCGCCAGGCGAAGGCGCAGCTAAGCGCTGGTCGGCGGGCTCTGCCCCGCGGTGCTCTCCGCTCGGACTGCGGTGACGAAGCTGCGACCACTCGGCTGCGTTGCCTTCGTCGTCTTCGCTCTTCACGACAACGACGTTGAGTGAGAACTCGCTGACGTCGACCTCCTCTTCTTCCTCTTTAATGCGGGGCGGCTGCGGATCTTGGTCTTCCTCTTTAATGCGGCGGGGCTCCGGATGTTCTTCCCGACGACCGATCGGCTGCTGGATGTCTACAAGATGCAAGCAAAACAAAAAAATTGAGCACACGTGTCAAACTTTACGAGCGGTGGCTGACCTCAAGGCATAGTATTTGGTCTGACAGGAGCTGCTGATTGATGTGAGCTCTCTATCGTATCAGTTTTTGTGACTTACATCGCTGTCAAAAGGCATTTGCCCTCTTCTGGAAAAAAAAAACTGGGGCCCGTGAAA